TTGGCCCCCTTATCGCTAACGGCCGTGCCGGCCTTCATTGGTGCTGCTCGCTGAGATTTGGCCCAACCGTCCGTTGAGGCCGAATGGGGGGGGATTCATTGTCTTTGATGGGTGCAGAAAGATAAGAAGGACAAGAAGAAGAAGAAAAAGAAGAAGAGTAAGAAGCCACACAAGAGCAAGGCCGAGGGCGATGGCGAGGGCCCCGTCCAGCTGTCCAAGGTCTGCCTGAGCCACGGAAGAAAGGGGGGGGGAGGGGGGGCCCGGCCGCTTGTGGACCCTTTGACACCGCAGAGACCTCACTTCTGATTGGACAGGATTTGACACAGTGATAACAACTTGTGCGTCACAGCAAGAAGGATCCTTGGGTTTGATCCCCGACCCGGGCTGCTTTCTGTGTGTGGAGTTTGTACGATGTCTTTCTCTCCCTGTTCTGCAGCTCCCGATTAGCACGGTTGGTTACGTCCGGTGTGAAAGATGTTCAACACAGATACATGGGTTTCCAACGGGTTCTACGGTTTCCTCCCCATGGTTAAAAACACACAAACGATGTAACGGGTATTGGCCAAACATGAAAATTTACGTGCACATTCTCCATAGGGATCACACACATCAACTGTCATCGCGCCCTTTTGCAAAAAAAAATTGGCAGGACCCTCCTGAAAAAGGGGTCATGTGACTCAGTCACCTTGTGCCGCAGAGGGACAGCTACCACTGGGGGGTGCCCACGTCTAGAACACCAAATCTCACATTGCCATCAACTCGCAGACTAATGCCCACTTGCGGGCCAGGTGCCGAGTCACCTTGTGCTACGCAGATATAGCTGCCACTGGCGATATGACCCTTCAAATGTGTTGAGATGAGATGTGATAAAGTTTATTTATTGCATGTACAGTGCTTTGAGATGGCCCAACTTATCAATCATAAATCATGATGATCATAAAGAGCCCTAAAAGGCTTATGTGGGTAATGATTCAAAACAACTACCATTTGTAAGTTACTTGTTTGATGGAAGTTCTTCTCTCTGTGCAGTTCTTGAAGCGTAAGAATAAGAAGTACAGCATGGTCACGGGGAGGAAGATCAAGATGAAGGTGAAGAAGTCAAAAGCTGACAAAGAGGTATTATTCCACCATCATCATTAGACCTTTGCCAGGAGGAAAAAGGGGAAAACCCCTATTATTATACTTTGGTACTGGCAAAGGAGGTCTAATGATGTAGATGCTTACCCCGAGCCCTCATTACTTTGATAGTGCATTGTCTTTGAGCTGTACGCCTTTTGGCGTCCTCTGGTCTAGCACCAATTGAGACGAGGCTCAAAAGAAAGCCGTCTCTGGTGTGGACCAATCAGTTTCAAGGGCAATGCATATATTAGCACTGTGTTTTTTGTTTGCATTTTGACCACAAGTATTGTGGTTAATGCACAAATGATTCCTTATATAAAGGTTTCAGTTTTGTTGCCAGAAAAAAAAGGGGAAACCCCTATTATTAGGTATTATTCCAGTTTAACACGTAGGCTTTTGCGACCAATATTCATTAAAAAAAATTTTGGGTTGGACCGCGTGAATATAAATATGTCCTTTAACCCACCACCACCCGACACAGCCAATTGGTAAGTTTTGTCACAAAAACAAAAGGTGCCAATTACTCGTTCAGCACACCGGTGTGTTGGAGAGTAAACCCACAACATTTACAATTTAAGTACGATGTTTTGCCGATAATTACAAATAGCCTCATCAGGTAACGGGCATTATTTCGCTTGTTTACCAAAGAAAGCCTCGCCGACTTTCGAGACTCCCTTTCAGGATGGTCCTGCAAGTGTGCAGTTAGGGGGAAGGGGGGGCAATCCATTGCTATATGTGTTCCCAATCAATTAATTTTCAGTGCATAGCACAGTTGGCTATGTACAGTGGGAAATAAGTTCAACGTACATATTGGGGGGGTTATATGGGAGAAAACCTGAAAATCTGCAGGAAACCCATGCAGAAAGGTGCCCGATTTAGGAATTGAAACCAGGCCCTTCTTGCTGTGAGGCACAAGCATTTCCGCAGCAGCCCTATTTTAATCCAAATTCTATTGCAGTGGACCCGTTACATGCAGAACGCTTGATTCATCCAATGTAAAACACCCATGTCATGCAATACAGCACCCTAACATCTTTAACTGCAGACCTCATGCTTCACTGTCAGTGGGGCAGAGATAGCTGCACGTGGTGTGAACGAGAGCGCGAACTGCCGCATACGCGCGTGTTCTGTTTTGACATTAATCCGCGTACTGTCTTACGTTCACAGCGAGACAGGAATCGGGCAGAGCTGCTCAAATTCCTGAACCAATCGTTTTGAAGGCGGAAAAGTGTCTCGCTCAAGGAGGTTGGATGAGGTCATCTTACGGTCGGGCGTCGCGTCCCTCGTGTGGAGATGGAGTCACCTCTACGCAGGCGGAGCCGCCGCCCGCAAAGGGTGGAACCACTCGTGGAGAGTCTCGAGTTCTCTTCCTGCCGATCCACGTTCCGTCTGGTGAAAAAGTTAAAATCCCCATGATCGGGGCGCACATCCCTGCCCGTGGGGGGAGAGAGAGAGCTCAGTTCACCCTTCCCATGGTGGTGGCGTTTGTTTGGTTGGGACCGCGGGAAAAAATGTGTATGTATTAAAGTTTTTTTTAAAGCAACCGGTTCCTCCTTGGCATCAGTGCCGCATAAGTCATCTAGCTCGCTCGACGCGGTGTAAAGCGTTATCTCCCCCCCCCCTAACCGCACACGCACAAGTGCGGACAGTCGCCAGTTGTAAATATTAACTCGTTGTAGCCGAGCGCATCTCATTGATCAAGAAGGCCGCTTCCAGTTGTAGGCGGCAATGGGAATGTGACGATTAAAAGCAAAGAAAAACACTTTGTGTGAAGGTGTCTTCCATTCTACTGCAGACCGTGTGGATGCCCATTCAAACTTAACGCCTTTCTCTTGGTGTTCCCATGTGTCTGTGTGTGCATTTAGCAGGAGCGTAGCGGTTCGTGAACTGTACTAAAAACCTGGCTTCCCGAGTTCGATACCTGATCGCGGCCAACATCAGTGCCGAATATCTGAACCGATCCTAGGCCTCCGCTCGATCGACTCCACCTCAAATGCATACCTGGTTCAGTTTGTAAACATGAGAACTGGGAAGACAAAAGGCGTGGTGCTGAACACGGCTGGTGTTGGGTTTGTAATTGTTTTGATTTTTAGAGATTTTGCATCGGTTTACACAACGATAACATTGAGCTTGCGTGCAAATTGTTAAAGGGTTTTTCTACCTTGGTAAGTACTGTTTTTTGATGGTCATTTCTGGCATCCAGAGGAGCATTAAATCTAAGGTCTAAGCCTTGCTTAAAATTATTTTTTAATATATACTTGGGTATTACTTTGTGTGACTTTAGTTGTTTCTTAAGTTGCCCCTTCCACCCGATTTCCGTAGACCACACAGGCAAATAAATTACGAGTGGGAATGTAGCACGGCGCTGAATGTTTGCCAGTGGAGTACAGCTGTGATGGTGAACGATTGTGACTGCACCAGATGGATTGCTGTGTAGGACAGGTCCCTGGCTTTGGTAATAGCGGGTAGTTTGTCCTGTGGGGAGCTCCCCGATGCTGAGCCCACACCTCTTTGATGGAATCCCCTGCCGAATGTTGTTGGGACGATCCTCAGCCTCATTTTTGAACTACACCAGATTCCTTGGTCCATACCTGTCAACCCACACGCTTTACCTGTATTATTTTAGAGTGTTCAGGTTCATACGGCAGACAGCTGTTTCAATAGGGGCAAAAACATGTTTTTCCCTGGTGATGGGACATTGTAGGATGAACGTTGAGATTTATAAGAGCACGGGGTGACTAATAAGGTCTGAATTGGTCTGTAATAAGGTTGGCACTGATGAGTGGTTGACAGGTGTGTTGGTCCGCCACCCTTGTGCATAATGAGCTCATCTTCAGAGGTGGACGCACCCATAGGAGGATCGCCACTATGACCCTCGGCCCTTTTCCAGTTCCGAGACGTCTGCAAGTGGCAAGGTGTGGTCCCGTGGACCGCAGAATCTGCTGAATTATTACGAGAAAACCCAACTCAACAGAAACATTAATGGAGGCTGTGATCAAATAGGTGGTAGCAACGCAAACAAAGGTGTGTGTAGCAATGCAGGTATTTCGGCCTTATCCAGACCACTAGTTCTAAAGAACTGATTGTGTGGCCATTTTGTTTATAAGGTGTCCAAATTATACTGGTAGGAACGAAGTTGTAAACTGAGTGTACCAGCCTGCAATAGATTAATGTGTCTGTCCGTCCCCTTTCAATACTTTAATGAAGTGAAATATCGTGCTGTTGGGTGTAAAATCAGCAATAGACAGCGCAGAGACTTGATATGTCTTATTGCACCCAACATTTGGAAGTCTCATTATCTCATTTGCGAACTTCTACCAGCCCACCCTGCAGGGACCTGTTTTCAACACACAAACCTACCTGAGTCGTGAGATAGTTTTCTGTGACCCATGGCCATGCAAACACTTTCATTGCTGTGAGTGATCAGGTGAGTGAATGAGCATGGGTGATAACGTGTTTTTGTATTGTAACTTTATGACCCGACTAGACGTCTGCGAAAAAGAGCTTTATAGCTCATCTGATTCCTCCAGTATAAATATTCTGATTCTAAGTAGGTTAGAGGCCGTATGAGTGGGTACGGTGTGTATACGAATGCTTGTCATAGAAATCAGCCATGCCCAATCTACTGCTGGATGACTTATGCTGATCCGTTGGAATTGGTGGCGAGGACTGGTCAATATAATTCGCTACTGATGTTAGCCGTGGCCTAGAATCAAACTTAACTGGCCAAGTAGCGATTACGTCAATGCCATGGTGGAGTAGATTTATGAGGTGACGTCACCCCCAAATGGGGGAGTGCTATGTCGCACGATGACGTCACCCCCAACGGGAGTGTGATGTCGCGCGATGACGTCACCCCCAAATGGGGGCGTGTGATGTCGCGCGATGACGTCACCGCCGCGAGGGAAGTGACGTCACCCACAATACCGGAAGTGAGCGTGTTGACAAGGAGCTTGCAATGGCCGGGCCGAGACGTTGACGCCGACTCCGCCGCCGCTGCCACTCGCGACCGAGACTCCTGGAGAAGCTGGGACACCCCGAGACCCCGAGAGAGAGAGACGCCGCGAGCCCAGGGCCAATGTTAGAGTTGGAGGTGGTGCCCGAGCGCTCCGTGGGGAACGAGAGATGGGAGTTCACGTTGGGTGAGCGGCGCTTGGGAGCCGGGGGGTTGAACAATGCCTTGCGCAAGAGCGTTTCACATTATATACACAACAAAGACGCAACAGCTACATGCACTATCGCACGTAACTATACATAGCACGGCAACAAAAACCACACAGTTACGCGTAACTACACGGCGACTACAACCACATACCATAAAGACATTTCCCGTGTAGCCTTGACAGACTGTTGGGGCGAGTGCTGTTAGCGAGCACCTATGAAGGCCGGCACGGCACACGGAGGGGGTGGGTGGCCGGCACCACGCCCGGCCGCCTTTGTCTCCCTAGTGGCGATGTTTTCACACCGCACCAGGTACTCATTTGAGGCTGAGTAGACCTAGGGGAGACCCAGGACCGGTTCAGATGAATCGTCACTGGTGTTGGTCGTGAGCGGGAATCGAACTTGGGTCGCCGGGTTCATAGCTCGGCGCGCCAAACCGCTACACTCCCGCTCAGTTACACACAAACATGTAACTACACAACGACAACCACACAGTTACACACAAACATGTAACTACACATAACACAACAACCACACAGTTACACACAAACATGTAACTACACAACACAACGACAACCACACAGTTACACACAAACATGTAACTACACATAACACAACCACACAGTTACACACAAACATGTAACTACACAACACAACGACAACCACACAGTTACACACAAACATGTAACTACACAACGACAACCACACAGTTACACACAAACATCTAACTACACAACGACAGACAACCACACAGTTACACACAAACATGTAACTACACAACGACAACCACACAGTTACACACAAACATGCAACTACACAACGACAACCACACAGTTACACACAAACATGTAACTACACAACAACCACACAGTTACACACAAACATGTAACTACACAACACAACCACACAGTTACACACAAACATGTAACTACACAACGACAACCACACAGTTACACACAAACATCTAACTACACAACGACAAACAACCACACAGTTACACACAAACATGTAACTACACAACACAACGACAACCACACAGTTACACACAAACATGTAACTACACAACACAACGACAACCACACAGTTACACACAAACATGTAACTACACAACCACACAGTTACACACAAACATGTAACTACACAACGACAACCACACAGTTACACACAAACATGTAACTACACATAACACAACCACACAGTTACACACAAACATGTAACTACACAACACAACCACACAGTTACACACAAACATGTAACTACACATAACACAACGACAACCACACAGTTACACACAAACATGTAACTACACAACACAACCACACAGTTACACACAAACATGTAACTACACAACACAACGACAACCACACAGTTACACACAAACATGTAACTACACATAACACAACCACACAGTTACACACAAACATGTAACTACACAACACAACCACACAGTTACACACAAACATGTAACTACACAACACAACGACAACCACACAGTTACACACAAACATGTAACTACACATAACACAACCACACAGTTACACACAAACATGTAACTACACAACACAACCACACAGTTACACACAAACATGTAACTACACATAACACAACGACAACCACACAGTTACACACAAACATGTAACTACACAACACAACCACACAGTTACACACAAACATGTAACTACACAACACAACGACAACCACACAGTTACACACAAACATGTAACTACACATAACACAACCACACAGTTACACACAAACATGTAACTACACAACACAACCACACAGTTACACACAAACATGTAACTACACAACACAACGACAACCACACAGTTACACACAAACATGTAACTACACATAACACAACCACACAGTTACACACAAACATGTAACTACACAACACAACCACACAGTTACACACAAACATGTAACTACACAACACAACGACAACCACACAGTTACACACAAACATGTAACTACACATAACACAACCACACAGTTACACACAAACATGTAACTACACAACGACAACCACATAGTTACACACAAACATGTAACTACACAACACAACAACCACACAGTTACACACAAACATGTAACTACACAACACAACGACAACCACACAGTTACACACAAACATGTAACTACACAACACAACCACACAGTTACACACAAACATGTAACTACACAACACAACGACAACCACACAGTTACACACAAACATGTAACTACACAACGACAACCACACAGTTACACACAAACATGTAACTACACAACACAACGACAACCACACAGTTACACACAAACATGTAACTACACAACGACAACCACACAGTTACACACAAACATGTAACTACACAACACAACGACAACCACACAGTTACACACAAACATGTAACTACACAACGACAACCACACAGTTACACACAAACATGTAACTACACAACACAACGACAACCACACAGTTACACACAAACATGTAACTACACAACACAACGACAACCACACAGTTACACACAAACATGTAACTACACAACGACAACCACACAGTTACACACAAACATGTAACTACACAACACAACGACAACCACACAGTTACACACAAACATGTAACTACACAACGACAACCACACAGTTACACACAAACATGTAACTACACAACACAACGACAACCACACAGTTACACACAAACATGTAACTACACATAACACAACCACACAGTTACACACAAACATGTAACTACACAACGACAACCACACAGTTACACACAAACATGTAACTACACAACACAACGACAACCACACAGTTACACACAAACATGTAACTACACAACGACAACCACACAGTTACACACAAACATGTAACTACACAACACAACGACAACCACACAGTTACACACAAACATGTAACTACACATAACACAACCACACAGTTACACACAAACATGTAACTACACAACACAACAACCACACAGTTACACACAAACATATAACTACACAACGACAACCACACAGTTACACACAAACTTATAACTACACAACACAACGACAACCACACAGTTATACGTAGAAACGCACTTAGAGCAACGCAGTTATACACAACACGAAGTTATACACGGGACGGTTATACTTAACACAGTTATTGACAACACAGTTATACACAGCACACCTTTACACAACAACACGGTTATACACAACATTCAGTAATGCACAGCGACACAATTCTACCCTCGAACACGATTATACACAACACACGTATACACCACACTCCGTTAGTCACAACAGTAACGCGATTATACACAACAACAACACAGTTATATACAACAATACAACGGCAAGCAGTACACCGTTATTCACAACGCATACGTAATTATACACAGCACGCGTATACACAGGATACAATTAGCCCTAAGAGCACTCACACCATTGTTGCTACACAACACGCAGAAATACACAACGCATACGCAGTGGCATACAACGACAAAGCAATTCTATGGGTTTTATTTAAAAACCCACTTGCTAAGCGAAGGCCCATATGTCCAAAATCCCAAGCGGCCAGCAACAACCATCGACTGTCAAAGTTGTAATCGATACTTTCCTTGAATTGAGCGATGTTATTAAGCGCTCTAGGGAAAAATAGACGATGGGAGGGAATTCCAAATTGGGAGCAGTATGCAGACCTGCACTGGGCGAACGAATGGTTGGTGAGTTGTTAAATGGGTGGGTGGTTGGTGAGTTGTTAAATGGGTGTGTGGTTGGTGAGTTGTTAAATGGGTGGGTGGTTGGTGAGTTGTTAAATGGGTGGGTGGTTGGTGAGTTGTTAAATGGGTGGGTGGTAAGTTGTTAAATGGGTGGGTGGTTGGTGAGTTGTTAAATGGGTGGGTGGTTGGTGAGTTGTTAAATGGATGGGTGGTTGGTGAGTTGTTAAATGGGTGGGTGGTTGGTGAGTTGTTAAATGGATGGGTGGTTGGTGAGTTGTTAAATGGGTGGGTGGTTGGTGAGTTGTTAAATGGGTGGGTGGTAAGTTGTTAAATGGGTGGGTGGTTGGTGAGTTGTTAAGTGGGTGGATGGTTGGTGAGTTGTTAAATGGGTGGGTGGTTGGTGAGTTGTTGAATGGGTGGTTGGTGAGTTGTTAAATGGGTGGTTGGTTGGTGAGTTGTTACATGGGTGGGTGTTTGGTGAGTTGTTAAATGGGAGGGTGGTTGGTGAGTTGTTAAATGGGTTGGTGGTTGGTGAGTTGTTAAATGGGAGGGTGGTTGGTGAGTTGTTAAATGGGTTGGTGGTTGGTGAGTTTTTAAATGGGAGGGTGGTTGGTGAGTTGTTAAATGGGAGGGTGGTTGGTGAGTTGTTAAATGGGTGGGTGGGCGAGTGAGTTGTTAAATGGGTGGGTGGGCGAGTGAGTTTGTGACCTGCAGTTTGTGACCTGCAGTAACGGTGGTTGACCTGCAGTTTGTGACCTGAGTTTGTGACCTGCAGTAACGGTGGTTGAGCAACACAGTATGGCGAGGTGACCCGAGTTCCTAAAACCGATGGAGGAATCGATAAAGTTCACGGGAGCGGTGACGATGCTAGTAGTAGCGATAGAAGAGTGATAAGGAGACGACTGGCCGACGTTGAGCGAGTGATTGGAGTTAATCGAAGAGTTCTTAGTCAGTCTCACAATGACCCCAGTTATATTTAATTCTGTCAAGTGCAGTGGGCTCGTTAATTGAGTAGTCCACAACAACAATTCCAGCTTTGGCCGAATGTTTGCTTTGTATATCAGTAACGAGTTAAGGGTGCGTTGGCACAGATAGGAAAACAAAGCTTCAATGTTTCATAAGCCCGGTTAGCAATACAATACAGTACTGCACTGTATTAACCATTCCATGACAAGTCATATGAGATCGTTGTACCCAGCAGGTTAATGGTTTTCCTATGACGAATACATACCTGTTAACCCCTTACCAGTGCCTACCTTATTACAGACCAATTCGGACCTTATTGGTCACCCCGTGCCCCTTATAAATCTCAACGTTCATCCTACAAAGTCCCATCACAAGGGAGAAACACAATTATTTTGCCCGTATTGAAACAGCTGTACGCCGTATGGACCTGGACACTCAATTTCCCTGTACAAGAATATGGGTTAAAACGTATGGGTTGACAGGTATACGAATAACAACCTTGTTAAATATGACAACACCTACAATGTACTGTATAGGCATGCCGAAAGTACACACTTTCAGATAATTAGATCATCTTCGCCCACTGTGTAACGTAAACAATTATATCCCATCGCACAGACATGGGGTTATATTTATGGCCTGCACTTAGTTTAAATTAACCCTCAATTAAACACACACATTGCAACGCTACGCATGAGGCCTGGACAATGAGTTCTGCAGCCCAGCCGTGACCCTCTATGGGGCAACCCAATCGCTAACAGCGCTTGCCCGAACAGTCTGTTAGGGCTACACGGGGGACATTTGTCTTTGTTGTTGTGTGTGTAGGAATGCCATTTGCCCAGGCCGTGGCCATCCTCCAGAAGCAGTGCCACCTCATCAAGAACGTGCAGGTCTGGTACAGTGACCAGGTGAGCCCCCTTCCTGCACCGTTCACGGATTTAAAGATGTAATACAATAAAACACTTTTTTGTAGCAGTGACGCAGCGGTTACATTTGTGCTTCGGTGCACTCACTTGGGTGCCTTGTCTGCTTGGAGTTTATTCTCCCCCTATTCACGGTGGCCTACCACTTTATCCATCACTGTGAGCATTTTATCCGCACTCATGGGGTACTGGAGTGGAATACTTTAGGCCTCGGCAGACTTTGTATTTCTAATTTATGCACCGTGCTCGATCACATCTGTGACTGCAGGGGCCTCTTGCCATGAGGTGTAGTACGTTAATGTGCATTTGCCCGGCAAAGGCCGTCGGTAAAAAAACGGTTCCCCTATCCTTGCGTTTAACCCTTTCCCGTTCCGAGACGTCTTCAAGTTGCAGGGCGGGTGTCCCGTTCACCGCTGAATTTCGGAACGCGCAAGTGGTACAGCATTCATTTTATTTAGAGAGGCATAGCACCGCTGTTTTTAAAGACATTTTGCTCACCACAAAGAACCGTAGCGATATGACCGCACTCTGTGATAGTCGGCTTAAAACTGTGCCACACGCTCTCCCGCATGGCCTTTTTCCTTGCGATTCCGTTCCAATGACGTACATGTGTACATTTAACGTGGTAGATGCGTTCCTAAAAAAATTGGGAAAGGATTAAACAGCTGTGTACGTGTGGCCATGTTCCGTTGCGTTCCAGAGTCCTGTGAGCAGTGACCTGGTGCTGACCCTCACTCAGGATGGGATCAAGCTGCTGTTTGACCCATACAGTCAACGACTGAAGGTGAGTGTCTGGGGCTTTGGGGCAGCCCAGTGTCCGCTGGCAGAATGCGGCACTGTGGTCGCACCTCTGACACATGGCAAGACTGGAGCCGTGCGTGACCTTGTTTTTTCCGTGTTCAAGTACAGCGAGTCCCCGTTTAACACGGTGGTAGTAGATGCGTTCTTGAAAAGTTCTGCGTTAAGCGAAAAACGCGTGAAGCGAAAACGCACACCGCGCAGTAAGATGGCGGGACAAATAACTGAATGTACGCTGCCGTGTTGCTGTATCATGCCGCATACGGTATCACTCTAGCATTCAGCCGCGAAACTCAAGAAGGTAATTTGTCGTTGACTGCAGAAACCTTGTTGTAATGGTGCACGCTCCGTGTTACAACGGTGCCCGTTTTGTTCCTTAAAGGAAGAATCGCGTTTTAGCGAAAACGCCTTGTGTGAACAGGCGTTAAGCGAGGACTTGCCGTATCTTGAACTCCGAACAATTATTATGAACCGTCTCACATTGACATGCTAATCTCTAATCTCGAACAATATAATGGCTTCTTCAGCAGCGTAACCATGGGGTTACATTAACAGATTGACATGCTAATCTCTAGCAATACAATGGCCGAGGTATACCTAGCTCTGCGATCTTAAATTTACTTGAAAATTCCATCTCTAGCCCCGCCCACTTACCGTTGGGTTGTACCCATCTCAAACCTTTATAACCTATGGCTGCAGTAGCTCTTTCGCTATATTTCTTCCTGCTTCAGCAGTCCGCCTGCTGTATTTTTTCACCTGAAGACGATTGCTTGTACATTTTACAAGGATTAATCCTTGTAAAAAAAAATCTGAAACAAGGATTAATCCTTGTAAAAAGGTTTCAGTTTTGTTGCCAAAAAAATGGGAAAAACCCTATTATTATATTTTGGTACTGGCAAAGGAGGTCTAATGATGTAGATGCTCACCCCGAGCCCTCATTACTTTAATAGTGCATTGTCTTTGAGCTGTACGCCTTTTGGCATCATCTGGTCGAGCACCAATTGGGTCTAGGCTCAAAAGAAAGCCGTCCCTTGGTGTGGACCAATCATTTTCAAGGACAACGCATATATTATCAGTGTTTTTTGTTTGCATTTTCACTGCAGGTATTGTGGTTAATGCAGACATGAATCTTGGTAAAAAGGTTTCAGTTTTGTTGCCAGAAAAAAAGGGGAAACCCCCTATTATTACGATTGCTTGTGTTGCGATCGAAACATCGTGATGTTTAATATTTTTATTTTATTATTTTTCTATCTCCGTGACTTTACCGAAAGACCCAATAAGTAATTGTTATGAATTCGGTCAAAATTGGGAGAGAAAAAAACTGTCCTATCCTGGGGTGGAGCATCCAATTCCTGCCTCACTGCACCTCATAGAATTCAACGCAAATTCAGTCGGGGTGATTGATGACCCAGAACTCACTTTCACGCCAGTCACTCGCTCATCATCAGCAGTGAGTCGCCGCCTTATCACTCTTCTGTCGCTACTACCAAGGTTACTATACTCTTGAACTTCATTTGTTGATTCTTTAATCCATGTTAAGGTCTCGGTTGACCAGAATGAACTCTTTCATCTCATCCTTAATGCGTTCAACTACCACACCGCAGGTCAAAAAACTCAGTCACCTGTTTGTTCACCCACTCGCTCACCCGCTCACCTACGATGCCGAGGTCAAAACACTACTCTTTCAACTTCGATCCCCACACTACTAAACTATGGAATTGCCTCCCATCGTCCATCTTCAGAAGTGTGTATAATCAAAACCTCGCTCAATTCAAGAAATGCATACACTTTTATTTACTATCTTCACTATTGCTGTGTTTGGTTGTTTTAGACCTGTGCTAAACAACTATTTATTTAAAATAATAATTGCAAGTTGTAAATCCCATGTTTACTGGCTTTTTATTGTTCGTCTCATTTGTTGGGTTGGTGTCTCCTGGTTCTGATTAAGGAAATTGATTGAATGACGGGAACATTGAAATAAGTCTTCTCAGTCTATTAACATGTTTTCACACACTGGTCTCTAAAGTCACTATGACCGGTGTGATGTAAAAATAAATTTGAAATTGTGAAGAGTGTGTGTTGGCGGAATGTTTATGCAATCAATGTTATTGAGCCTTGGTCCACTGGTCGCGTTGAACACTCCAGTTTTTGTCCTGCCTCGTTTTTGTACATTTTGTCTTCCATGAACCCATGATCATAGAACAGGACATATTTTTGAAACTCCATAATGGAGGTTTTTTTGGGTTGGATCCCGTAAGTATATAAATCTGTCGTTACAACCCGCCACCACCCGACACAGCCAACTAGTAAGGGTTGTTACGTAAACAGAACATGCCATTTCGTCACTAGTACATGCATGTTCTGTTTACGTGACAATCCATACTAGTTGGCTGTGTCGGGTGGTGGCGGGTTTTAACGACACCTCTTATGGATGATATTGGTCGCGAAAGCCTACGTGTTAAATTTTTTAAACTAACAAAATTATTAGGTTTACTATTTTGAGGCAGCTGGGTGCTGGTGCCGTGGTAACACGTGTGCCTCATAGCTAGAAGGTCCTGGGTTCGATTCCGGACTGTGTGTGGCGTTTGTATGTTCTCCCCCTGTTCTACATGTGTTTCAGTAACAGTAAGTTCCTCACTTAAAACGGTTTTTGCTTAACACTACACTTTTTAGGAATGCACACACAGTGTTAAACGAGGAATTAATGTAATGTGTTCCTATTTAGAGCCACAACTCTCCAATTGTGTGACTGTGGTCACCCAGAACAGACCATACAACGTATAACACCGCAATACCCCGATCACCAAATACGACGGACACAGCGATACACTCCGCTGCTCCTGACATGGTTGTCTGGTTTGACCACCTGAATGTGAAATTATAGTTGTTGCTCTCCATCGGCCGTACGAAAGAAGAAGAATTTATAGCCACGGGTGGTCGTATGGGAGCCATGGCGGCAAGATGTTAACTACCTCGCCTGGTAGTAGCCCCCTTACCACTGTCTCCCCTGTGTTACAGATAATTGAAGTTTACAATTTAAGCAAGGTGAAGCTTAAATACTGGTAAGTCGTGTTTCCTTCATCAGTCTTCTTAACAGGGCTGTTGTGTTCATGTCGTGATGATTGCCACGTTTCCATATTAGCGGGGTCAGGTTACGCAATGACTCTGATTTCCTGGATTGTTACTCTGGCTGCCTCGATCTTGTCCCGATGATGCTTGACGTGGTCTCAAGTGAAATTGCTAAATTTGGCTTTGCATTGGGACGAACGGGAATGCAGCACTGCCTGAGTATGTGTCTGCCTTCTGAAGACTCGCACACGTGGAATGTATCCCCTCTGTGACTCCTGTTCACTTGGTTATATGTATGTATGTATGGGCGCCTCGGTGGCGAGATGTTAACTCCCTCACCTAGTTGTGTGTCAATCGCGACCCTGACACCTGTGTATTTGGTGTGACATCCATATTTAGAAACATGCATTTAGAGTATTTGGCTGCGATAAATTTCCACGTGATTAGCCATTTCGTTGAGCTATCATTTGTGGCCAGGTCGCTTCTAGCTCAGTGGGCCTTACCTGGTAAAATAAAAATAGTTTAGTTTAGTAGTTTAGTTTATAGTTTAGTATGTTGAACATCTTTCGCACCATACATAGCCAACCGTGCTAACCAGAGGTGCGGAGGGAAGGACAACAATCTAAAAACACAAAGCATACTAAATAAAAACAGACAAGACTCCTTCTGAACCCATTGTACCATTTTGATTAATGCTGTTCGCGAATATCAACTTAGGCGGGCATGGCACATGATTGGGTGTGCACAACATGCTGCCTTGCATTGCTTTTGTTTTCTGGTTAACCCACTTGAGGCTGGGTCAACCATCCAAACGTTCGTTGGCAGTTGATAATTTACCTTAACGTTTTAAAAGCTTAGATATATCTCAATCCTTGTGAGTCACTCCTGTTGGATTCTGCTCTTAAACAGTCCATTTATTACTCTCGTATTAAATACTGTAAGTGACCTCTGTTTCCACATATGTAATACAAATAACTCTCATCCAGTAACCTATTGGCTTTCCAGACAAATGGTCCTCATGACGGTACCCCGGGGTACCAAATCATACAAAATGGGCCGATGCAAATAAATATTTTATTTCTGGGACACTATTATTTTCCAGTGGTGTACTTAACTCCGCGACTGGGGTACCAATCAATCCGAAATCAGTGCTGCTCTGCGATGTCGAAACGCAGCGAGGACGATAGCGCCGAAACCCTGAACGCTCGCGTACGCACCGTAGCGGTGCATCGTGTACAGCTCGTCGAGATGAGTCGATTGCCTACATCGCCGACCATCAACAGACGAAGAATGACTGCATCACGGACATTATGCGAGAGCCGGGGTACTATGGTACCCCAGGGTACCGCCATAAGGTTCAAATATTATCAAGCAGCATTTTGTTAAGCAGGTGAACTCGACCGGTTTCAACCTTCTGTGTCTCATCAGCAGAATAACTTGCTGACCCGCCCCTACTGGACATCTGTGAAAAAGAGCTTCATAGCTCATCAGATTCCTCCAGTCTCAACGATTCAGATTCTGAGTCAGCCTTGTTAAACAACTGCTGCTGGATACCAGATATTATTAGACGCTGAAGCAATCACGCTGCAATTTGCTCAATTGGGATTATACATGTAGCAACATCACCCCCTACTATTGCGATCAAAGACTTGGCAGGATCCTCCTGAAAATGATTCTTTGAGACTCATTGAGGCTTGCATGAGTAAACGAGTGCAGTACTATAATAATAATTGTCAGCACTCCATAAAAACTGAGACTTTGTTCCACTGTGCTACGTTTGTATTCTGCTGTGTACAATATTCTGCTGTGCTGTGTGTATTCTTCACAGTTGTGATTGCATATGTGTGTGTTTGTATATGCATGTGCGTGTGGATATATCATTGTCATGGTAGTGGGGAGTGGTGGCGCAGTGGTTCGCGCATTACACTACGAACCTGGCGACCTGAGTTCTATTAACGCTAATATTTGAACCAGTCCTGGGGCTCCCCTAGTTCGACTCAGCCTCAAATGAGTACCTGATGTGATGTACAAGCATCGTCTCTGGGGAGACAAAGGCGGCCGGGTATGGTTCTGGCAACCGATCCCCTTGTGTGTGCCGGTGCTCGCTAACAGAAATTGCCCCAGATGTCTGTTGAGGCTATACAGGGGGATATTTGTCTTTGTGTGTGCGCTCTACTGCAGTGGAGTGCACTTTAATTCCCCGACCATCCCTCCGACCATCGAGCAAATTGACCAGTCGTTTGGAGCGACACACCCTGGCGGTACGTACGCACGCACGCATACACACACGCACGCACACACGCGCACACCTCTACCTGCATCTTCATGCCGATGCACTCACGATGGTTTGCTAATGTGTTCTGCTAGTTTAATCACATTTTTATTTATATATTGCGTCATTCACACCAACAGCATGCCACAACCCTGTACATTAATTATATAGGAGGGCCAAATAACATATACGCGATTGACTACATACGGCTCAAAAGAAGCTCATGACACACAGAATAGGAATCTGAATATTTCTTTATACTGGAGGAATCCGATGAGCTAGAAAGCACTTTTTCACAGGTGTCCAGTAGTGGAAGGTAAGAACGTTTACAACAACAAACAATACAAAAACATGAGAGTAGTGCAAACTACAGGAAAGCTAAACAAATCACCCAAACACATACCAATACAACGTAACCATCCCCATCCTACCAGGCAGAGCCCGCCGATGTATTAACTTATTTTTCAGAAGCGACCTGGCCGCAAATGATAGCTCGATGAAGTGACCCGTCATTTGGACATTTCTCGCACCAAAATAATCTAAATAATCGCACACATACCAGGAAAATAAAAAACCCCTACTATCCAAGCAAAAATAAAAAAAAAAACAAGTGTGTGCGCTCGTGTGTGTCCCCTGCAGTGTACAACTCGGCCGAGCAGCTGTTCCACCTCAACTTCCGCGGCCTCTCCTTCTCCTTCCAGCTCGACACGGGCTACGAGGCGCCAAAGTTTGCGGTAAGCGCTGCTGCCCGATGTCTCCCGTGGAAGAGTCGCCTCCCCCAGCGTCCGCAAGGCATCGGCCCTTGACCCCTGCTGGATGTTAACGTTTTACTCCGCGCTGCCGTCACCACACAGCAGCTGTGCTCCTACTGTCTGGGGCAGCTTTTGAGGACACTTAAGTCGTATTCGTCAACAGTCATAATATTATAAAGAAGAAGAATGTGATTTGTAATACACGTGATATTTCACGGACGTAATTGACGGTGACTCTTAAGGTGCGGAGCCAAGTTCACTGTCGCGGGGAACTGGTGGGACCTTTAAGTGTCTCTTAAAAGTCGGTGTTGATTGAACACTTTTGCTGCTGCTGTGAATGTGCAGTGGGATCATGGCATTCCAGACAGTGGGGGCTGCCACGGAGAAGTGACGCCCGTCAGCAGTGGCGTGAGCGAGTAGTTGCAGGGCTGTGCCCTTACTTTGTAGCCGAGAAACAAGGGGGCGAACGTAACCCACGCTGCGGTATTTTTATTTTACATCCGCACATGCCAATCCATTTGTCTGAAACGAAATCTCCGCTGGCTGCCGACTTCTGGAACCGCTCACCGAATCTGAAAGCAGTCACCGGGTTGCCACGGTGGCGAGATGTTTACGACCTCGCCTGGTATACAGAGGTCGTGGGTTCGATCCCGACCTGTATTTTCGGAGTTTGCGTGTTCTGCCCGTGGCCCCGCGGATATTTCTCTGGGTCTTCCGGTTTTTTTTCTTCCATATTCAGAAACATGCGTTTTAGAGTATTTGGCTGCTAAAAATTTCCTCATGATGATAAGCCACTTCGTTGAGCTTTTCATTTGTGATAGCGAGGTCGCTTCTGAAAAAGAGCTACGTAGTTCAGTGGGCTTTACCTGGTAAAGTAAAAAATAGTTTATACCTTTGACAGTTTAACGACCGTGGCAGCGATCCCTGCGCTGCGAAGCATCGTGCCGCCATTGCCTGCCGCCACGTGCCACACGTCACCGGTTGCTCTCCCGTTTCCTTTGCAGCCTCACTACGCGCATGGCCTCGCGTCCTTGCAGATCCCCAATGGGGCCACGGTGGAGAAGATGTACATTTACACAGGGAACTCGCTACAGGACACCAGGTGCGTGCGTGCGTGCGTGCATGTGTCTGTGCGCGATAGGGAGCAGTGGTGTAGTGGTTAGCGCGCTGCGCTACGAAACCAGTGACCCGAGTTCTATTCCCGCTCGGTCAACACCAGTTACCATTATCCAATCCGGTCATAGGCCTCCCAGAGGTCGACTCAGCCTTAAATGAGTACCTGGTGCAGTGTGTAAACATCGTTCCTGTCGGAACGGGATCGGAAGTAAAAGCCCATGCGGGAGGACTTGTGGCACAGTTTGGTGCCAGCTATCATTGAGTGCATTCGTGTCGTTGCAGTTCTCTGCAGTAGAGTGCATTGTCTTTAAAAAGAACGGCGCCTCCCTAAATAAAATTAACGCTTACTGCTTGCGTGTTCGCGAGATTTAGCAGTGAACGGGACACCCCACCCGGCAACTTGCAGGCGTCTCGGAACGGTAAAGGTTTAACATCTCGCAACCGTGGTGCTCTGGTCAATGTCTCTCGCACCCTCGCCGACCTCCGTCCAACCCCTCCCCCCCTCCCCCCCCCCCACTCGCCGTCCCCCGCCAGGGCCCCCCTAATGCCGCTCAGCTGCTTCGGTGGAAACGTGTACGCGGAGAGTGTGGATGTGCTCAGGGACAGCTCAGGGCCCACAGGTCTACGCTTCAAACTGCAGACTACAGGCAAGGGCCCGACACCGCACAGGGCGTAAACCACCGTCACGCGAGCTCCGGCCATCCTCGCTAGCAGCAGCAGCGGCGGCGGCGGCGGCGGCTTCTGGCTGGCCGATGAACAAAGACGGTTACTGCATCGCGCGCGTTCATTTGCGTTTCGGCGGTCGTCTGGAATGCTCTTCCTTCTGATATTAGGAAGCCACTAGAGCTACGCACTTTAAATAATCTAGATTGAAAACTCATTTCTTTAGAAGTGCTTTTTGTGTTTTATTTGTTATCATTCCCCCGCACCTCCAATGAGCATAGTTAGCTACGTACGGTGCGAAAGAAGTTCAACATACATAGGTAGACAGCTCACCGTACACCACCGCTACTCTAGCGCCACTCTCAAGCTCGCCGCGCTACCCATTCACAAATTCACTCACTGCATTACCCCGCCTCACTAACACCGCTTTCCAGCTGACTCGGGACACTATTCACTCTCCAGCTCGCAACACTACCCACTCACCAGGCCTCTTGCAGTGACACAATTGACCGAGATATGGCGCGACAATTTTGGAACACAGCCTTGTTGCCCGGGCCAAATATATTCCCCTCCAGTATCCGAGTAGTCTGGCTCTGATTCTCGCAGTGACGGATACATCTCGTTTGTTCACCGATAGGCCACGGTAGTTAACTATCTCGCCTGGTATGCAGGAGGTTGTGGGTTCAATCCCGACCCTGATGTCTGTGTATTTGGAGTTTGCATGTTTTTCTGCCCCCGTGGTGGCATGGATTTTTCTCCAGATCCTCCGGTTTTTCCCTCCACATTTAAAACGCACATTACGCTTTTGGAGAATTTGGCTGCTGTAAATTTACACGTGTTAAGCCAACTTTGTTGAGCTATCATTTGTGGCCAGGTCGCTTCTGAAAAAGAGCTACATAGCTCAGTGGGCCTTACCTGGTAACAAAACAAAAATAGTTTAGTTTTAGTGTGTCCCATGCGAAGTGAAGCGGCGGCCATAGGCTCGTCCGCCTCCCTTGCTGTCTTTGCGGAGCGATGGGCGGGGGGCCAGGTAGCGGCGTCACGGCAGCATCGTGGTTCATGACGCGCGGTGCGTACCGTTCAGGATGCGGCCCGGTCATGCGAGCCGAGACCAAGCTGCAGGCGTTCGACCGCTGCGTGCGCTTCGGCGATCATTGCCAGGAAGTGTCCTCCGCCCTGGGCTGCCCCCACAAGGTCTTCTACAAATCGGAGGACAAGGTGAGCCCCCCCCGTCGCCCCTACGCCTTCGCGCGGCGGTGACGCATGCTGGCGCTGCGTTGTCAGGCCCAGGGAGACGGATGCACACCGATTTCCCCCTGTTACGGTGGCGAAATGTTAACTACCTCGCCTTCTATGCAGGAGGTCGTGGGTTCGATCCTGACCCTTAACACCTGCTGTGTATTTGGAGTTTGCGTGTCTCTCTCCTGGTGGTCGCGTGGATTGCTCTCCGGGTATCCGGTTTTCCCCTCCACATTTTAGAAACACGCACAGATGCTTTGGCTGCAACTATAGATTCCCACATGTGGTGATATCAGCCACTGAGATGATGAGCTATCATGTGTGGCCAGGTCATCTCTACAGTAGGAGCTAACAGTTCAGTGGCCTTTACCTGGTAATATAAACAATAGTTTTAATCGTTGAAATAGTTTAAAAGGTAGACTCGGAGTTTAATTACTCCAATGTGGCAGGTCTTGATTCGCGTTGCAGCTCGTGGGAGAATCAATTTCCGTGGAGAAATGACACCTGTCGGAGAGAAAGGATGATTTACGATAGTTTGTCTCCCCCGCTCTCTGTTCTCCTTATCAGATGAAAATTCATTCGGCGTCTCCACACAAGCAGGTGCCCTCCAAGTGCAACGACTACTTCTACAATTACTTCACTCTGGGAGTGGTGAGTTCTTGGCTGAACAATCACCACGGAGGGTGGGTGGGGGGGCTCTGTAACTTCGCTGTCGAGCAGAAATTCACAAACTCTAAGTCCATCCCGGCCCACCGCCACCACCACCAGAAGGCCTCACTCCGCTCTCAAATACAAATTGACTCGTTCCATGCTGCACACGCTGTACACGCCCAATGATGATCGTCTTAACCCTTTCCTATTCCGATGACGTGCATGCGCGTCATCAATTTGGCTTCCGATTCTCGCTCCGATGACGTACACATGTACATGGCTTTCCGGTGGAAGGGCACGTGGCAGTTTTGGCACCAGCGATCGTAAAGTGCAACGGTCGTGTAGCTACGGACCTCTGCGGCGAGCACAATGTCTTTATGAAAACAGCGATGCAATGCCTCTCAAGGTAAAATTAATGCCGAGCCGCTTGTGCGTTCCGAGATTTGGCGGTGAACGGGACACCCACCCTGCAACTTGCAGACGTCTCTGAAGGCGAAAGGATGAAACACGTCCCAGGTGACGCGCTAAGCAGTTAACACCATCTGCCATCTGTGTGCGTCCCCCATCCGCCCCCCCGTCTCCACCACAGGACATTCTATTCGACGCGGCATCTCATCAGGTGAAGAAATTTGTGCTGCACACAAACTACCCGGGACACTACAACTTCAATATGTGAGTGCCGCGCCAAACGCCGGCGGCGCGTGGTGCGACCGCCTGCGGTCTCTTCATCGAGTCACATGCCCATCATTTAATCCTGGCCATCCCTCCATTATATACCGAACGGATACGTTCCTCATACTTTTGTTCGGTAAAGTGAAATTCCATTTGTCGAGCCCTGTTTTTTTACTCATTGACTTACGATTTGCAATTGGGAGTACGCGTTCCTTGGGAAAACCGATTCAACCCCAAGACGAAATAAAATTACGCTTAAGAATGCGGCAAAAAATATTTTATGCTAAGATATCAATAATAGTACTCAAGTCGCGAATGCGGGGTAAGGACAACAAACTAAATACAAAAAGCAGTTCTTGAATAGCGGTATACTGATGACTGTATTACTGTTTTAGAGACTGGTTTTGGGAGCTGAGTTAAAGGCTTGAAAATTATTAGCACGTGTTTTCATTACCAAACTAGCAGCCCTCATGCCCTGTGGACTTATCCAACCATCCAGCCAGCCAGCAAAACTGTTTTTGAATCTAGTAGGATGTTAGTATGATCACCGTGGATCCACAGCTAGCCAGGAGTCTAGTCTAGAAACCAGCCAGCAAAACTTTTTTTTTCTGAAATAGCACACGAAGCGTATGATACACCCGCAGCGATCACTTGGGCTAAGAGTGGCGGTGGTGCTCCTCTATCCACAGATACCACCGATGCGACTTCCGGATTCCCATCTCTTCTCGATTCGGTGAGCGCTCACTCTCATCTCCACCCCCTCAACATTGGTCGGCTTTGCCCAGGGCCCATTCAAAGCGCAAACCCCAGCAGAGTGCAACCAGCGTCTCTGTCGTTCACTTCGACTTTAACAGTGCACGTCGCTCTTGGACGGAGAAACGTGTCGGCAACTGGTTCGCACTTCATGTTTGTTTTAGTTACGGTTTACTGGCTTTTTTTATTCCAGGAGAGCCACATCAAGTCGTAGGGCTCATTTTCAGGGGGGTCCTGCCGTTACATTGGGTTTTTATTTGAACCCTTTCCCGTTCCAAGACGACCGCAAGTTGCAGGGTGTGGGTCCCCGGTCACCGCTGAATCTCGGAACGTGTGAGCGGCTCAGCGTTACCTTTAGTTAGAGAGGCGTAGCAACCCTGTTTTTAAAACACTGTGCTCACCGCAGAGACTGTAGTGACACGACCGCACTCTATGATAGCTGGTGCCAAGCTGTGCCACACCCCCTCCCCGTATGGCCTTGTGGGAGTCTCGGTAACGATAAGGTTATTTTATTTTTTATTTACCTCCGGTTCTGTTCTGATGATGTACACATACATCACCAGAACAGAATCTGAAGCAAATCTGATGACGTCCACGTACATCATTGGAATGGGAAAGGGTTAAGATGTTTTCAGCCAATTAATGTGTATCCATGTGGGGGAAAACCTGATCACCCGGAGCAAACCCACACGTGCGAGGGGACAACGCTCTATCCACCGTACAGATACAAACAGATGGCGATTAGTCCACTTGCTGTACTGCCTCCTCCTGGCAAACCAGAACATGACACCTCGACGCCCACGGGATGGCAGTTTCACAACACCTGTCCGTTGATCCACAAATCCTCGCTGCTGCCGCCTCCACGGTACTGAATAACAGGCAGCCACGTGCATAGCCACCAACCGCCCGGCTAATTTACCCAGGAAAACCTCACTGAATCTCAAAGACTCTTTGTCAGGGTGGTCCTGTCAAGTTTTTGCAGGTGGGGGGGGGACGATATTGCCGCTGTGCAGAATCCCATTTGAGAAATGTACAAGTGGTCCCTCGTTTATCGCGGGGGATACGTTCTAAAAATAACCCGCAATAGACGAAATCCGCGAAGTAATCAGCTTTATTTTTTACAATTATTATACATGTTTTAAGGCCCGTAAAACCCCTAACCACACACTTTTATACACTTTTCTCAGGCAGGCATTAACATTTTCTCACATTTCTCTCTTATTTAAACACTCTCAAAGTTCAAACTTTCGCAGATTTAAAAAAATAAGTACAATATTAGTAAATGAAACCAAAGATCAAAACCTGTTTTCAAGCCCAAACATTTTTGTAAATCTGGCTAGCCGAACGCATTCTGTACTCCCTTAGCTAATCAGGACGCAGAACACATGTGCGGTTCTCCCTTAGCCAATCAGGACGCCGAACACAATGCGCGTTCATACTGTACGCAGGAACAAAAAGCATGCAAAATTACACTAAAAAAAAATCCGCGAAACAGCGAGGCCGCGAAAGGTGAACCGCGTTATAGTGAGGGACAACTGTATTCGCAGGGTAATCTTTTTCGCAATGAAATGTTTTTTTTTTTACGACGGCAGTTATATTAGCTTGAGACAGTATTGGTTTCCGAGCGCACTTCTTAAATGATGATAAAAGTTGGAAAGTGTGCACACGTCGTCGCCAGTAGGCATGATGATGACCGCTGGTCGAAACCAGAAAAGAAGTGGCAGCCAAAGGGGGAGAACACGCCCCGATGGGACGTTTAACCGTGGAGATGGAGCGATAGCTTTTATCCACACGTGGAGACATTTCTTCATAGCTTCAGAGGCCTTTCAATTTCCACGTCCGGTAGCGCCGGTGGTGACTGACCGTGTGTGAGGTTCGCGACCTTCAGTCGGGCGACCGCAGCTACGTCTTAGTGAGACTTGCACCCTGACGGGCCGCTTCGTGTTCGCAGACTCGAGCGACCTGCAGAAGGAGCCGTTCGTCATCACCGCTTACACCAAGGTAAGCGCCGTGCGTGACGAGAGAGAGAGAGCGGTACGCACGAAGAGGGGGCCTAGCGGGGGTGTGCCCCTGACGTGCACAGCGCTCCGTGGGTCAGCAGCACAGTGGCGAGAGTGGCGCCACAATGGCTAGGAGATGTTGACTACCTCGCTTGGTGTGCAGGATGTCATGGGTTCGATCCCGACCCTTGACGCCTGGTGTATATTTGTAGTTTGCATGTCACTCGCTCCTCATGGTCGTGTGAATTTTTCTCCTGGTCCCCTCCGGGTTTTTCCCTCCGTTTAGAATCGACATCACGCGTTTAGAGTATTTGGCTGTTATACATTTCCACATGATAAGCCACTTTGTTAAGCTATCATTTGTGGCCAGGTCGCTTCTGAAAAATAGCTACAGAGCTCAGTGGGCCTTACCTGGCAAAATAAAAATACTAGTTCGTTTTAGCACCGTCTGTACGGCGAGCTCTGCTGTTGATCCGATCGATGGTCGTTCGTTCTCTTCTGCTGCACCCGCAGACTGGGGCTGTCTTCCTCCCCCCCCCTTCCATCTGTGCTGTCGGCTCTCTGTTCCCCCTATTCAAGTCCAGGCTCAACACTTTTTCTTCTCTTCTGCCTATGACTGACTGCCTCACTCTCTCTTATATAATTGTTACCACCGTGTCTGTTGTTCAGCAGTCTAGTGTACATCCACATTGTATCGTCCTGTGTTTTTTTTCTCTTCTGAAGCCTCCGAATCGTTTTTTGGCACTACTATTTGGTTAATATACTGTACGGGCATCGCAAGGCTCCGGTATCGAATCCTCGGCCTCCTGTGTACCAGGAGAGATAGATAACATCTTCTCGCCATGGTGGCAACCCCCCTATATTGCCAGCGCTGTTGTGTGCGTTTCCGGCATTGTGTGTGAGCTGATAGTTGCGTGTGTGCAGTGTGTGAGCTGATGAGTGTGTGTGCGGTGTGTAAATTAATGGTTGTGCGTTGCGGTGTGCGAGCTGATAGTTGTGGGAGTGTAGCAGTTAGCACGCTGCGCTACGAACCCAGTAAACCGGGTTCGATTCCCGATCACGGCCAACACCAGTGCCAATTATCTGAACCGGTCCTGGGCCTCCCCTAGTTCGACTCAGCCTTAAATGATTATCTGGTGGGGACAGGCGTGGTGCTGGCCACCCATCCGCTCGTGTGCCTTGCCGGCCTTCATAGGTGCTCGCTAACATCACTTGCCCCAACAGTCTGTTAAGACTATACGGGGGGGATCTTTGTTGCGTGTGTGATGTCGCACTGTGCAGTGGGACTCGGTGCAGGAGGTGCTCCCCCATCCCATGGAGCATCCCGTGGTGCTCAACAGGTGAGGATTGGCATCTTATCTTCCTATCCTGTCTTTGACATGTATTTATTTAGCGGCACCTTATCCCAAGGCTGCTTTACAACAATAATAACATTGTACATAATATTACAGTGGTTGACATAAAAAGTGGGGTTGTTATTAAAAGGGGTGGTTTAGTTATCATGACTGAAGAACAGGTGGGAGTGGTTAAGGAGAGGTTGAGGTAGTAATAGGGGTTGGGGTAGTGATATAGGGGGTAGGTGTGGTGATAAGGGGTCGTGATAGGGGTAGTCCTGGTCGTACCTGGGGGGGGGTAGTGGCAGGGAGAAGCAGCAGTAGCAGGATGATGATGATGGGCTAGGGGAGAAGCCATGGGAGTTGTTTTAAGGAACAGAAGCCGGTGATAGTGAAGATGATTGCTCTGAGTCCTGCAGGGGGAGTTGGTTCCGGTGAAGGCGAGCGAGAAGGGAGGAGCGTGAGAGCGAGATTGGCCGCAGCAGGGCGAGGGAGGCACAGTGGGGGACAGTGGAGATTGGGAGCATCGAGGACGGGGTGGGACAGCAGCGAGAGATGATAGAAGCAAAATCAGCTGGGACAAGGCCGTGGAGGGATATATCGCGCCAATTGTGCTACTAGCGCTGTCTCAGCCCTACACGCGTAGCCCCTGTGCACACAGCAAAACATATGGCTGCGACCCACAAGTGCAGGAGTTTAAGTTTTGTTGCATAGACAATGCCTAACATATTAACAATAATACTAATAATGAATTATAATATCTTTGCATTTATCTGGCGTTACTTAAATTCCTCGGCAACTGAAAGTGCCTTTTTGCATCACAACTCATCTCAAACATTCCAAAGCGACTCCCAGCAGCGGCTGTCCCTGCGGGCACGATGTGTATCGATATTGGCCTGCGAGAGCAGTCTTTAGTCTGTGTGTATGTTGAACTTATTTTGCACCGTACGTAGCCTACCGTGCTAATCGGGTGTGGGGAAAAGGACAACAATCCAAACGCTAAAAGCACTTTTAAAGAAATTAGTTTGTCAATCTCGATGATTTAAAAGTCCATTGCTCCAGCGACTTCCGAATATGATAAAGCAGAGTGTTTCAGATGGCCGCAGAAGCGCATCCGATAGCGCCGTGCGATGCGGAGAACACCGCCTTTGTTTGACGGCTAAGCCAAAGCCGCCGTTGCTTCTGTGAGGGTGACCGGGGTTCACGCAATCATAGTTTATGCTCCTGAACAGGATCACAGGCAAGGTGTTGCGGTTCATTTGGTGGCGTGCACTTTGTGTGTGGTGTAGCGAGCGCGTATGAAGCGCTTCGAGACGGCCCTGGCGTTTAAGGAGCGGGGGGGGGGGGTGGTCAGGGGTGTGTGGCCTCTTATCGGAAGCACAAAGTCATCGGCATGATAGTTGTAAAACTGTGGATTGCGCAATCTCACACGTGTGTATTCAGGTCGTCGTCTGCTAACAACACGAACCCATTTGGCTCCACCTTCTGCTATGGCTTCCAAAGGATGATATTTGAGGTGAGGATGCTGCTTGCCCCTTTATTTTTAGCGCAAGTGAAGGCTGCTTCCCGGCTCATATATGTATGTAAGTTGAAATTCTTTCGCACCGTACGTAACCAACCTTGCTAATTGGAGGTGCGGGGGAAGAACAACAAACGAAACATAAATAGCAGTTCTAAAGAAATGAGTTTTCAATCTGTAATATGTTAAAAAGCGTAAAGCTCTTGCGGCTTCCTAATATCGGAAGGAAGAGCGTTCCAGACGGCCGTGGAAGCAGGACTGAATGCGCGCGATGTGGTGACCGTCTTTGTTCGACGGCCAGCCAGAAGCCGCCGCTGCTAGCGAGGATAACCGGAGCTCGCGTGACGGTGGTTTACGCTCCGTGCCAGCAGTGGTGGAGCGCTCTTATCTCTATTGGCATTACCATGGTGAGGTGTGGGGGGGGGAGGTAGGGTGGAGCAGGATTTTTGTTGTAGGATGACCACAGTTGACTTCTCACATAGTGGTACTTATTTTTGTCTGCCCTGGAAGGATGATGGGCCGAGTAAAGCCATGAGCGGGATTTGAAATCGTGTGCGTTTTAGCGCCCTCGCCGTAGTTGGAGAGGCGGCGATGGGGGTGGATGGTTTCTCACCTACGCTTCGTGGCTTCAGTTCGCATGGCTGCGGCCACACGGGGCTCTGCTACATTTAAAGCGACTCGCCCACGCTATTCGAGCGCTCGAGGGGAACACGGTAAATCCTCGCTTAACGCGCGGTGTCCACGCGATGCGTTTTCGCTTTAACGCAGCGCTTCTGTCAGGGAACACTTTTCACACAACGCAACGCTGCCGGCAATCCGGCCAACACCAGTGATGATTATCTGAACACATCCTGGGCCTCCCCTGCGTCAAACTTCGCCCCAAATGAGTACCTGGTGTGGTGTGTAGTAACCATCACCGCTGGGGAGAGAAAGGAAGGCCGGTCATGATGCTGGCTACCCCCACCCCCTTGTGTGCCGTGCCGGCCTTCATAGGTGCTACTCGCTAACGGCACCAGCCCCCACAGTTAACTAAAGGCTATACGGGGTATATTTGTCTTTGTGGTGTGTGTGTGTGTGCCCGGTAGGTGATGGCGAACGGACACATTGCGTCGGTGACGCTCTACTGGCCCCGGGCGGTGGGCGGCGTCCGTCACAACGACGCATGAGCCCACAGACTGACGCCGGCAGCAACAGCAGCTCCGCTCCCGATCCGATTCGCACTACGAGCCACCCTGGGTTTTTGTTTCACAAGGGGGAAACCCCCGTGTCAAGAGTCATGTCAGGTTCGGGTTTAAAAATACCCCACAAATGCTGGCGACGCATGCGAGCAGCGCGCAGGCGTGTCTGCGGGAGGGGGTTTTTTTTTGCCGTCAGTTTCAGGTGGTGTCTGTGTCGGGAGGCCGAGGTCTGTGCCGGGAAGCACTGAAGCCAGCGCCGACGCAAGGTCTACATTTCAGGCTTCCCCCACCTACAGGAAGTTTCACCGGACTCTCCGGCATGGAGAGGGCGCTGTAGAGTCTCGGCCAAGCAAGCAGCGAATGAACAATAAGAAACTATTAATTCGGATTTGTACCTCCTTGTTTGGCTTTTTCCCAGATCCCTGAGGGTCTATTTTAGCGGACGCAGGCACCGGTTAAACCCGGTCACTTTTGACTGCACAGCGCTCACCCAGCACGGTCTAGAGAATGGCTTAAGGGTTACTGGAGGAAGATCCCTCGCCTCATTTTCGGGGTTGTTCCCAAACGTTTGCACGTGGCTCTGTGTGTGTGTGTGGACAGAGATCCAGAACAGGTTCACAAAGCCCAGATTGTAAAAAAATAATAATAATAATAAAAAAAAGCCTTGAGCAGAACCAAAACGTGGTTCTTCTGGAGCTGGGGGAATGTGTTGGCTGACAGTCCCCGGTGAAGTGAGCCACGCATTTTACCACTGCGAATTCCCCTATGGTTCCCCATTCCCAGCCTCCACTTTAAAACTAAAAACCCGCCCAGGCTGGACGGAGCATCAGTCGTCCGCAGGTTGTCGCTGGTTGAGCAGACGACGCAGCTACCCGGCGCACGCCACCGGATTACCCTCGTAGAGACTCGTGGTGCCGTCCCCCTGCATTCGTTTTAACGGCCAAATCAAATTCCACTTGACGATGCTGAATGAGCCAAGCCCCTGGAGGAGGTTCGTTTTTTTTTCCTTCCCGATTCCTTTTGTGGGGGAAAATCATTGGAGTTTGTGGAGTGAGGAGTGGGGGGAGAAGGGGCCCGTTCATTCCCTGCACTAAAGTGGAATTTGGTTTCCGGCCGAAATCGCACAACTGCAAGTGGCGTGTGTTCCCCAATCCATTCCCCCCCCCCCCACCCGACGACACGACTCTCCGCTGGCCAAAAAAACCGAAGCATCCTCTGCGCACTCTCCGTCTTGCCAAGTCCGTCAATGAAAATCAACTCTTGGACCGCCGAACATTTCACCGGGGAGTGATGGCAGCTCGTCACGAGCGAGGAGTTCGGCAGACAGTCCCCTGCCGGGGCACGGTCCTTCCCCCTCCTCCTCCTCCTCCTCCCCCGACCAGCACGCAAATGGAATCTCTAAACGAGCCCGCACAACTGGTCCGTGATCCGCGCAGTCAAGTGTTGTCGTAACCTAGGGCCCTACCTCCTCAAGCGTCCACGACAGTGGGCGGCTCGGGCGGCTCGGGCGGCTCACGTCGATGGCAGGTGTCGTCCGGGAGCACTGAGCCAGCGTCGCTCGTGCCCAGGGCTCATACCCTGGGCTCCCATTCGCAAACCAGCTTTGCGAGCGGCGTGCACTGCACAAGACACCCTCCATTTTTCTTTTTGCACTTAATTTGGTCTTGCCCACCCGTGGGGGGCAGGGGGCGGCGGGGGGGGGACGTAGCTCGTGACAGACAGGCGCAGAGTAGTGACCACTTGTGTCCCACCGCGCAGCTAAAGAGCACAGCTTAGAGCACAGCTTAGAGCAGGGGGGGGGGGGTCGGCAAACCTGCAGCTCCAGAGCCGCACGTGGCTCTTTACGGACTGCTCCGCGATGTAACGCATGTCTGTATGTCTTCACAATGTGTTGTGGCCCGTGAAATATCGAGGTTTTTTTTACCGAATTTGAAAAGAAATTACTCTTTGTTATTTTGGTTGCCGGACCCCCTGGTTTTAGAGGTGGTGGTTTAAGAGTCGTTCCGGGAACGTTGTTGCGCCAAGGGCCTACGGACGCGTCTCTTGGGGTCTCGTGTCCTTCGGGAGTTTCCGTGCCGTAAAAAAAAAAAAACCGCTTTGCCCTCTTGCGCGCGTCCAGATGCTCTGCCCGCGGTTTGGACGCGGCCGGCAAGGTAACGCAATAACGTGCGCGCACTCATTAATCGTTTCTTGACCCTGCGAAGAGAAGATGAGAGAGAGAGAGAAACGATGCTTTAACATCCCTGTCAACCCCCTACGGTTTACCCCGCATTCTTCTACAGGGAACTTGAGTTTTCAGGTCCATACGGCGTACAGCCGTTTCAATGCGGGCAAAGAAAAACATTTCTATTTGTGTTTCTCCCTTGTGATGGGACTTTGTAGGATGAACGTTGAGATTTATAAGGGGCACGGGGTGACCAATGAGGTCTGAATTGGTCTGTAATAAGGTAGGGCACTGATAAGGGGTTGACAGGCATGTATTACTAAGTTGCTTTTATCATTGGGCGTTTGCAGTTTGAACCATCGGCGGTCATGGCTGATGCCTTGGACGTCTCGCTCACGATGATGCCGCTGACCAGCTCTCGTTTGCGCGTTTGTCCTTCGAGCCCGTCTCTCTCCCCCCGTTGCGCCCAACCCATTCCGATGTTTTATACAATTTCAACTGTTGTCATTTTCAAGAATACGTATTTTTTTTTAACTGGAAAAGGAGCAGTGGGTCACAAACGTTACAATAACAAGAAAGGGTCTGCCAAGGAGCAAAGTGAGTGGTAAATAGCACTGTGCCTGCCTGATGTTATAGGGGAGGTACAGCAAGTAGGTATGTAATAAGCAGGTATCAATGAAACCCTACAGTAGTTCGGTTGAATGGTCTTAACTCGGGGCACGATTCAAGAATTTAATATTGTTTTTTTTGTATTGTCACGTAGGTATTACGTCTCATTCTGTACAGTTTTTGTGTTGCTCCATTGGCCCTGACCTTTACAGCATATCACTGCTTTTAATTTGCATACATTCTAAACGATCAGCTCTCGCACGCGTGGCACGGTGAGCGTTAAGGATGGATCGCGATCGACGAAGCCGTTGCTGAGGTTACACCCGCCTAGCTTTTGCACGAGTCCACCACAACCACCACTCGTGCGCAGAAATACTCTGAACGCGGAGAGAGGGGCAGAGGGGAGGCTGCAGTTAAACATGAGATGCGGGATATTGCCGTTAAAAGTCCCCCGGGGAATTCGGTGAGGACCCCCTCCCGGTTAACGACGTCCGATGTATTCCTCGAGTTAACGCTGAACTACGCGCACACGCGCACACGCACGCCTCCAAGCGAACGCACGCACACGGATGAACCGTACGGCCGTCGTGGGTTTTTTTTACCAACCCCCCCCCCCCCCCCCGTATAGCCAAAGTCCACTAACGCCGTTACGTGGAACGGCGACCACCGACGGATTACGTTTTTGACGCTTTTGGGGGGGGGGGGTGGTTTTGCATGGCCGGTGCCGCGAGGGGACGAATGCCACTGGGGGGTGGGGGGGGGGACGAGCTTAGGGAGTGGACGGGTCAGCGATGTAAGGCGCTTCTGAGTTGCTGAGGGTGGCGCCATCATGCTGTTCTTCCATTCGGGAACACTTTTCGCACAACGCGAAAATGTGCGTCCCCTGCCCCCCCCGTTATAACGCGAGACAAGCGCCCCGTCATCACGCGGTTTCTGCGCGGTCGACGCCGAATGACTTTCTTGAGCCGCGCGGCCGAGTGCTACGGAACGCAGAATGAAACGGCAACGCAGTGGCGGCGTGTACCCTCCGTTGTTTGTCCCGCCACCTCGCCGCGCGGTGGGGCATAGTCGTCGTAGCATCGTATCGCACCAAACTTTATCGTCGCATTATTTATGGGGGAAATTGTTTTCGCTTGGCGTGGCACATTTCAGGAACGCATCTACTACTGCCGCGTTAAACGAGGACTTGATGTACATACAAACCCTCGCTTGCTACTGCTGCTGCTGCTGGGGTACACTGACGATGAAAGGGCGCCGCTAATTAGAAAATAATTACCACAGGTAGCACTAACGAGGTTTGTCAAACGGCTGCCATGTGCTTCAAGTCACCAGGGCAGCTCAGAGCAAATCTCTTGCCAGGTTACAATCGGAGCTGAATTTTAAGCGCCCCCTCCCCTCCCCCCGCTGTCGTTGTTTTGAATCCCAAGTGTTGGCCCCATAGGTCCTAGCTGCGCGTCCATAAATACTTCACTCTCCAGCTTTCCATCACGGTGCACAGTTCTGGCGGTTTTTCTTCTTCACCGTCCTCTTAGCGTACGCCTCCGTTGGTTGTTCTTGATGTTCACGGGTTCACGCGATGGTCTTCTCTCTCAAGCGCCGTGGTTCACAAAGCTGACCTTCGTAACTACCGCATCGATCACCCAAGTGTCACAACGTGTCGTATGCACACAGTACGCTGAAACCTAGGAGTACCACTAGAGTTCATTTTAACGGGTCAGCTTTCACGTTTGAAATGACGCAGTGCAATATTGATCGTCGAGTCAACTGCCGTGCCTCTCGACCAGCGTTCTTCACTAATTTTCACAGGGAGGGGCGGCGGCGGTGGCGGCGGCTTTCGCCGATAATAAAACATCAGTGTGAGGGCCGCCACACATTTGAAACCATTGGATTTGTGACGGCACGAGGGAGTGTTTTCACATTTGCTTATTGCCGGGGGCCTGCAAATCAGGGGCCGCACTAAAGGGCCATCCAGGAGCCCACGGTGGCCTTGCAGTAAAGAACACTGCGCTAGACCGGTCACTGGGTTGCATGGCACGTGACATTCCACCTGCCCTTCAGCATCTGTGCAGGTTTGGTCCACCGGAGGTCGTGTCAACCCAAGATCCCGCGTTCGACCTAGGGTCCGGGTGGCCTCACCCGTGGGCGGTTGGGTTGGTCGCTTGTGCGGTGATACGCGTGTAGTCGAGGTCGGTCAGAGTTTGCGTGTTGCGCACGCGAGACATTTTCACGAGTTGGTGCCTGCGATGGGGGTAGTAGTTGCGGCAAGTAGGTTTTTGGCTGGCTGTTTTGTTTGCGATAGCCGAGTTTGAGTGGTACTCTCCGGTGGGGGGGGGGGGGGGGCGGATTTTTTTTTGCTTTGTTTCGTGCGAAGAATAAATCAAAAAGGACTTGGTTCTTGACATTTACCAGCAGGGCCCTCTGCAAAGAGGCGTGAAGACTCAGCCGAGGCTTTGCTCGGTCGAGCTTTATTCGTAATAGTATTCTTATTAGTAAGTGTTAGTGCGATGTTTTAAGTGAATTTCAGTTGAAATATACTGACTGCGAAACCCATCCCGATTTTGCGCTTGGGCACGTAGGTCTCTGTAACCGCCAGGGGGGGACGCTGGGTTATCGTGCGGCTTCATGCCCCAGTGTCCTGGTGGCATCTGCCAACGTCCCGTCACTCGCCGCCACTGGCGCTCCTGTTGCTTTGCTGTCATTCGGGTCTCCTTCACTGGGCCATGTCGGCCGTCCGCGTGGCCCATGCCTCGGCGTGTTTAGTCGCCAGGCTCAAGAAAGTCCGCCTTCGCGTGAATGTGCCTCGAAATGCCCACAACGTCGGCGCATGGGTTGTGGCTACGCACGGCGCGAAATGCAGTTCAACGTAAGACGCGTGCGTGCGTGCGTACACGTGCGTAGGCTCGGCAGAGACGGGATCCATTCTAGTCGCGGTTAAACTCGCAAGAAGGACCTGGTTTCAATTCCTCACTCGGGGTGTGGGGTATGGGGGAGGCGCCTTTCTCCGTTCTGAATGGGGTTCATCCGAGTCCTCTGGTTTCCTTTCGTAGCTAAGAACAACAAAAGTCTAATGTAAATGGTATCGGCCAATCAAATTACTCAATTGGTGATCGCACAGAGGCGCACAACAACGTCACCCCTCCCGCAAACATTTGGCAGGACCCTCTTGCAAAAGAGTCCTGAGCCTCTCGTGGGTAAACACGTTTAATCGGATAATCATTCTTGATTTGAAGCTTTCGTGACTGCAGGAATCCATAGTTTGGTTCGTTCGGTAAACTCCACGTCGGTATAAAATTTAAATGAATCGCGACGTTTCGGGCGCAACACAAGCGTCCGTCATCAGGTGGGAAAGCATAGTCTGCTGCTAAGGCAGACTTTTAAAAAAAGGATAATTCTCGCGAGAGTGTCTGTCCAAGGTGAGGGTTTGGTGAGGGTTTGTTTTGTTCGGCGCCACGTCAAAAGCTTCCATTTAAGCTTCATCATTCAAAGCCGATTCTTGTGTTAGCGGAACCTTGAGCAGAACTTTTCTCGTGACATTGCACACTCTCGCCGGTGGCTCCCTCGCACCTGAGTTTGACCCCCCCCCCATATGTGAAATGGTCACACATTAGTGGGGTTTTGACCACGTTCACTGGGTGACTGCATGCCAGGGTTTTTTTTTTCATAAGGTCTTAGTGTAAATTCAACACGGTTTAAGACTTTTCTTTTTTCTTTCTCTCGTCAGCGTTACAAAGCACAAAATTTTCCACGAGACTTTGCTTCCAATATTGGTCGAGGGCATTTCCCGTGTATTGTTACAGGGCCCTCGTGGCGACGTGCCCATGTACAATATTGGCCGCCCCCCCCCCCCCCCCCCGCAAACCGCGGGATTTGTAATGTGTCAGCTTCTTACGTCGCAAGTGTCTAGAGTGCATTTTAATTTGTTTCCGCTTTTCACTGAAGTATGACGATTGTGACAGTGTTGTCGAAGCTGTGGTTGTCATGCCTTAGAGCAGAGCCTGTGGTTTAATAAAAGACTTGAGTGACCAGGCACCAGTAGCGGTTTGATCCGTGCCATTTACACTTTTATGAACATGAGAAGCGTCGTGGATGTATCCATCGAGGTGTTAATTGTACATGCGTACGCCTGTTTTCCTGTGGAAAGACCGGTTCCCGTCATGAGAAATGTGGAATTTCCACCACTTGCTCACACCCATCGTCAAGTTGAGATGAGCAGCCCGTGTTGTTTTGCGTGCATCGGAGCAGAGTGCTGGCTCCCAGGAACTTTGGTCTCGTCGCGTTCGAGAATGGGCATGGATTCACCTCGCGCGATTCCGTGAATTTTGTCACGATTCAAGGTCACAGTGTGATTCAAAATAATCATCTTTTTTTTAAAATCTCTCTCCGTCTCTGTTGCGTTGTCTGTTTCGAGTCCGTCTCCCCTTTTGTTGTTGTTGTTGTATTGTTACGTTCCCCGAGCCTGCTAACCAGGTTAACGTTTGCGCACGGATAATGGGTTCACGGATAATTATCCGTGAACTCCGATTCTCGATTATAATCGGTTCTTGCTTATTTCTCACACGCATGTTTCGATGTGCGATGTGTAAGAATCGGCTTTGTTACTGCCTCGTGAGAGCGTTTATAATTTCAGCAACATTGATTTAACACGAGCGAACCGTGGACCGGTTTCCACATTCAGGTGTCGGCCTTGGTTGAACCAATGCCGGTGAACTTGCCGGAGGAGAATTGTGTTTGTATGGGTCTGCCAGAGGCTGATGGCAGCAGCGAATGATGACTGTGCTGTATTGATGGAGTCCTGAGGATGAACCCCCCCGTCTGCAGTTGTATTTGTTTCACTGCTGCCTGTTGGCATGGCTGCATTTTCTCACCTTTTCAGAGTCTGTGGTTCGAAACTATTTGGCCATTGTCGAGTGAACTGAATGTGGCGACGTATGTATTGATGCTTTGCTGCATGCAATGCTGCACAATTTTTAAAATTGAAAATGTTTCCTTATAAACTGTTCTGTTTAGTTTCTTTTCCCCCGCACCTGGGGTTAGCATGGTTGGCTGCGGACCCTGCAAAAGTAGTTCAACATATGCCTGCGTTTTGTTGAATCTGCTTCGAGTCCAAATTGTGTTGCTGGGTTTTATCAATTTATAGATTATTTGGATTGCCAGATGTTTATAGGTAAGGGACCCTGTTAGATTATGGGTCCTTGAATTAGATGCTAAACGATATAAGACAACACAATCGTTGATTTACTAAGCTCTGCCTGGGACGAGAGGTCAAACCGGAGTCAGCGGTTTCTCCCCAATAGCCATTGAGACCGGGCGAGGAGGAGTGTTGAATATTCAATGAGGGTCTCCTAGGTAAATATTTACAATTACAGTAAAACCTTGGATTGCGAATAACTTGGTGTGCAAGTGTTTTGCGAAACGAGCAAAATTTTTAAATAAATATTAATTTGATAAACGAGCGAGGGTCTTGCAATACAAGCAGTAGCACGTACACGCTTTGTCTCGCCGAGCGTCACGTGATCACAACTGATATAACGATTGCTTTGGATTACAAACACGTTTCTGGAACGAATTATGCTCGCAATCCAAGGTATTACTGTATTAAGTTGTAAATTTCCATTAGCATTTTTAATTATTTGATGTCAATTATTTTTTACATTCACGTACACTTCCTGTGTGAGCAGGTGCATATTTAACTTCGTTTGGGATCTGTTTCCCCATTGTAATTCATACAGAAAAACATTCCACACACTGTTACAATTCACTTTTATTGACAACTCAACCTGATTTGCTTTATCCACACCGGTGCAGGTATCCATCACTGATGTTGGCCGTGGCTGTGAATCAAATTCAGATGACCAGGTTCCGAGAGCACAGTGGGCTAATACGCCACCAACCCAAACCAGAATTCTCCCTACTTTACTTAAACTACCAGCACACCTCATTTCCCTTCACGCAGTGTGTTTATCGCCCCCATGTATTACACACAAACCCATGTGTTACACACAAACCCAGCTAACAAGGCACTGGATTCACAGACACACGGCCAGCCCACAGATGCGCAGACTCGCTCGTACAACCTCACCCAAGGAGACGCCCTGGGGAAACCCTCGTGTCCAGGTAACAATGAAGAGGTTGGAAGTGTTGGGGTCAGCACGCACAGTGGCGATATCGGCATTCCCGTTGCCAAGTTCGCCGTGGCCTAGGGCTCGGTGTCCCAAGTCCCCCAGCTCAAGTGTCCCAGCTCTCAAGTGTCCCAAGGCCCACATGTCGCGCTTCAGAGTGGCTCTGCGGGGGCCAGGCTGCCCGTGGCGTCGAGCTGCATGCACTTACAGGTGCAGGCGGAGACCGGGCACTCGGCGTGCTCTCTGAGACACGGGAAGGTGGGGGGTGGGGGGTGGGGGGTGGGGGGTGGGCACACACACACAACGAGGGCACTTTGTGGACATTACCGCAGCATTGTATTAAACTATAAGGGAATGGCTATGACAACAATGATATTGCAGTATCTTCTTTGGTTCTTTCGGTAAAGTCACGTAGAATGAGAATAAAATAATAAATTGATAAAATAAAATAACGCAATAATATTCTCAATTTATTACTTTATTCTCATTCTACGCGACTTTACCGAAAGAACCAAAGAAGATGAATCATTGCAGTCACGAAAGCTTTAAATCGAGATATTGCAGTACTTTACCAAGGCCTCCCTGTAGCCAACAGGCACGCTACGAGAGGCACCAAGACGGAGGTTGAGCTCACCGGAACCAGCTCATCATGTGTCCGGCGTGGCCACCGTGCCGGCAGTTCTGGCACCAGGTGAACCAGCTGTTGAACTGGGAGAGTTTGCGCTCCTTGCCGAGGCCTCCCTTCGCCTCCGGCTTGGATGGACCTGAGAGCAGCAGGTTGGTGACGGCCGTCGCGCAATCGGAGGTCAACCACAGCACCAGCCCCCGCGTCACCACGTCCAGTGGTGCCCAGGTGGCTCATGTCCCCCTCTATCGGTGTCCACCCCATCATCCCTGACCCAACATCCCCGTTTGCACGTCGCCCTATTCCCCTGCCCTCTATTTCCGTGTCACCCTGTCCCTGTATCCCATATCCACATGTCATCGTATATGTCCCTGTCTCCCTGTCCCCGTGCCCCTCCTCCCCCCCCCCCGGTACCTGTGTAGTTGGAGGCCGCCGTGCCCATGTTGATGAGACACAGGGCGCAGCGCGGCAGGGGTTTGCGGCAGCCGGGGCAGCTCGTGACCTTTGACTTGACGGGGGAGCCGCTGCCCCCATACTGCGAGAAGCCGCTGCGGGTGGGGTGAGTGGTGGTCGAGCCGCTGAAGGAGATGGACTTCCCGCAGAAATTACAGCTCACAAACACCTGTGGTTTGGGGGGGGGGGGGGGGGCGGTGGGGGAGTAAGTTATAAACTAAACTTTTTTATTTTACCCGCTTTGGGTCATTGAGCTATGGTAGCTCTTTTGCAGAAGTGACCTGGCTATCACAAATAATAGCTCAACAAGTGGCTTATCACGTGGCAATTTGTAGCAGCCAAATACTCTAAAACGCATGTTGATTCTGAATGTGGAGGGAAAAACTAAAGGAACCGGGAAAAAACAAAAATCCACACTACCACGTGGAGAGAGGGACATGCAAACTCCAAATATACCAGCAGGCGATCAGGGCCGGAATCGCATACCAGGCGAGGAAGTTAACATCGGGTTTCTATTTGCCATACAATGGAAACGTCCTCTTCAGTCGAGACACGGAGGCAGCTGCTGCCGCCGCCACCACCACCACCGGGATGAAGGTCCAGCGTACCAAGGTCACCAGTTTGACTACGCTTGCCGGCGAGGCAGTTTAAATAACGGTGGAAGCTTCTTTAAAAGAATTCCCCCGCCGCCTCTGTCCGCCCAGGGTTCGCCATAGTTGAGTCTACGATGGGCACGGTTAGGTGTATGCATGCTGAACTTCTTTCGCACCTTATGTAGCCAACCGTGCTAATCGGAAGGTGCGGGGGGGGGGGTTAAAGTGTGTGTACGCCCTCCTCTTCCAAGACGTCTGCTCAGCTTGGAAGAGTAGGCCAAATATCCCCTAGGACTCCCTCTCAGCGATGGCCCTTCCCTCCAATAGCACCGTCAGAAAGCAATTGCAGGACTACGGCTTTACCTTTTAACTGAGAAACGACAATTGTAACCGCTTCCGTGCACCCGCGCCAATGAGAGCGGCTGTCACAACAAATCATTCTCATCTCCACCATGCGCTGGAGACCTGCTTTTCTGGGATGTGACGTACCGACAACGCCGTGCGAGCACGAGAGGCGAGCGGGGCACAGGCCCTTGTTTCGATTGGACCGCCTCGCCAAGGTGTGCGCTCTATTCACCGTTTGACGCTCGGTAAGGAAGAGGTTGCCCCCACTTCTGCTGCTGCCAGCACGTGCCAGCTGCCGTCAAGCACTGCTGTCATGCACTGTGCTAGCACTTACCAGCTGCTTTCAGCACTTGCCAGCTGCTGTCATGCACTACCAGCACTTGCCGGCAGCTGCTGTTGGCGCTCATAGTGAAGGCAGAGAGAGAGAGCGGAAGGCCCCGCTTGCGAGCCGGGTGCGTGCCCACCTGCTGGAGGGGGCGGGCCGTAGCGTCGAGCTTGCTGCGGTGGATGTCAAACTCGGCGCGCTTGTGCCACAGGCGCCACGTGTCGAGCAGTGTGCGGTAGCTCTCCACCCAGTGCTGCACGCGCGCCTCCATCACGATGTCGCTCGACGAGGCCTGGGGCACGCGCGCGAGCAGAGATCGGCGCTCTTTACAGGGCGAGCGAGTGGGGTGAGTGAGTGTGGTGAGCAGGGCGAGTGAGTGCGGTGAGCAGGGCGAGTGAGTCGGGTGACCAGGGCGAGTGAGTGGGGTGAGCGGGGCGAGTGAGTGGGGTGAGTGAGTGGGGTGAGCAGGGCGAGTGAGTGCGGTGAGCGGGGCGAGCGAGTGGGGTGAGCGGGGCGAGCGAGTGGGGTGAGCGGGGCGAGCGAGTGGGGTGAGCAGGGCGAGTGGATGGCGGGTGAGGGACCAGGGTGACCGGGGTGAGCGAGGGCCGGCACCTGCAGCATGTAGAGGCATGCCGTCTGCACGTCGCCCGTGCGGTCCACGTAGCTCTCCATGAGGTCGATGCCATCTCTGGTGAGGCCGGTCAGCAGCATCCCCTCCAGGTTCCCCGCCTCCCGCATCTCCACAGCCAGCTTCTCCACAAAGCGTGACAGCTGCACACGCACACACGACATCACCACAGGGCTTGTGGCAGGCTAGGTGCACTTTGACACCATCGCTATCAGGAGGTCACGAGACAGACCCAGGTGGTGTGGGTTGGACTGGCAGATGCACCAGCTGTACTCTCCACTGTGCCAACTTGTGAGCGCCGCTCCTCTGACCACCATTATTCCTCTAAACTGCCCAGTAGCGTCCTTCATGAACCACCTTCTCCACAGAGACTGATCTTGACACTGCTGGTTCCATTCATTGGCAAGTCCACTCAGCTCCACATCCTTCTGTACCACATGAGCCTATATCTCCAGCCTGTACAGTGCCAAATTAGTCCCCTATATCCAGCTAAACAGAAACTGCGTGGGCATGCGGAGGCTGGGCATGTGAGCTACACGACCCAGCCAATGCAGCCTTGCCTGCTGGAGGAGGAGCTCACTGATGGGACTTTGTCCACATCTTTCAGGCGATCTCTGAGCTCAATCCAGTCTGGTTGAATCCATTATCGACCATTGCCAGACCAGCCCGAGTGTTCCAAACCAGTGCAGATTTTCATTTAAAGGGACCCATGTTTTGCAAGCAAACAGACAAGGCAAAACTGTGACTGAGAAGACTCGGAGCTTCGTACTGAGCAACAGGGTGGGTAGCTTTTCACGCAGCATGAAGCAACTTGATGAAAAGATGCAGCTCGACTGATTAGTAGCGAGACCTCCCACTGCCAGAACAAAGCTGGTCATAAGCACGCTGCCCAGGTATGGAAACTCCTCCACAACTGCCCCCCATTACTCATGGGGAAGTCAGCAGAGGGGACCATTTTATGACATAAAATAGCCAGGCAGGTGGCTTTGTTTTTGTGTTGGCCATGAGCAGGAATCGAACACCTTAAACAATTTTTTTTAACAAGGTAAGGCCCACTGAGCTCTTTTCAGAAGCAACCTAGCCAAAAATGATAGCTCAACAAAAGTGGCTTATCACGTGGAAATGTATAGCAGCCAATTACTCTCAAACTTGTGATGTCGATTTGAAATGTGGAGGGTAAAACCGGAGGACCCAGGGAAAAATCCACACGACCACAGGGAGAGAAACACCGCAAACTCCAAATATACAGGCATCGGGGTCGGGATCAAACCCACAACCTTTTGCATACCAAGCGAGGTAGTGAACATCTCGTGACCACTCACACATGCCTATCTACGAGCAATCCTCTGACCCTGACTCGCAGCCCCACCACCCCTACGCCCCCCCCCCCGCTCTCACCTGAGCGTCGCTGAGGAACATGCAGGCGAAGGCGACGCGGTCGCGCACAGCCATACCTCGCTCATTCTGCACAGAGAGACAGAGACCCCCCCATAGAGCCCTCGCACACTGGTGGGCAAGCGCGAGCAAATTGGCATGATGATAGATAGATAGATTTGAACACACACAGCACACCATGATACACGCAAAGATACAGATCTTCATACAGCATGCTTAGACTTTTGGAGCAAGTGTTTTTAAGCGGGCACTTATTTAAGACAAATTCTGTACAAAGACCCCCCCCCCCCAGAGGGTGTGGGTGGCCAGCACCACGCCCGGCCGCCTTATATATACGCGCGCACACAGACAACAACTGCTATTCGCTACTAAGCGGCGGTGACTTCACCACGGCGCTCGTGCCAGGCTGTGTGCATTTTAAGACCACGCGCATATACAAAAGACATATCCCGCGTACAGCCTTTCGCACAGACTGTTGGGGCAAGTGCTGTTAAGCGAGTAGCACCTATGAAGGCCGGAACGGTATACGAGGAGGTGGGTGGCCAGCACCACTTTACCAGGTACTCACTTGAGGCCGATTCGACCTAGGGAAGGCCCAGGACCGGTTCAGATAATCGTCACTGGTGTTTGGCGTGAGCGGGAATCGAACGCGGGTCGCCAGGTTCGTAGCGCGGTAACCGCGACACTACCGCTCCACCAACAGACGGACAGACGCGCACACACGCACACACGCACACACGCACACACGCACACACGCACACACGCACACGCCTGCACAAACTAAATGGCGACGGGCAGAGCCGCGATCGTGGCGTGGGGCCCTCACCAGCACGTGCTCGTAGCTGCCTGCGTCGCTTGTGAGGAAGGCGAAGGCCGCGCGGAGGTACGGGTTGGAGAGCTGCAGACGCAGGGCGGCGCACATCTCCCTCCAGAGGGACGCGCGCTCTGCCGAGTAGCCCGACAGCGCCATGGCCACCACGTTCAGGTTCACGTCGCCTGTGGTGGTGGTGGTGGTGGCGCCAGGGGTCAACGCGGAGGGGGGGGGGTCGATATAGCGTCACGCTCCCCCTTTCCCTCGCCCTAGACTACCCCTGTCCCAGAGAACCTGGCGAAAAAAATCCACGCAATCACGGGCAGAGAGAGAGAGAGAGAGACGCGCACAAACTCCAAAGGGTCGGGATCGGAACCATAGCCCCTCCCGCATACCAGTCGAGGTAGTTAACATCTCGCCACCACGGAGTCCGCTGCCGACAATGGACCTCAACATTGGGCATCCAGCTCCCGATACCCATGCTGCCGCTGCCGCTGCGGCTGCGGCACCACCATCACGCGCACGAATGAATAGGGCTCCGGCTTCACCTCGGCACGCGCCCTCCTCGCTCCCCGCTCACCGCTCGCGCAGGCCGCCCCCTGCTGCAGGATGTCGATGGCGTAGCGCATGCGTAGGTGGAAGAGCGCCATCGCGGCGCGGCGCTCCCACTCCTCGTCCGGCTCCAGCGCCGAGCGCAGCGGCAGCCGCTCCCGAGCGGGGCCCGGCGCGGGTCCCGGAGAGGGCCGCGACGACGACGACGACGACGACGGCGGCGGCGGCGGCGGCGGCGGCGCGGTGGACGTGGCGGCGGAGGCCTCGTCGCCCTGGTCATCGCGCTCGTCCCCGGCGAGCGCCGGGGGCCCCGTCCACCCGCAGAGGCGGAGCGCCAAGCGCCGCTCGGCGCTGTCGAAAGTGTAGACCTCGAGGCGGCGCTCGGGGTCCGAGCGCGACAAGCGCAGGCTCTCCGGCTTCCCTGCGACGCGAGCAAAGACAAAGATCCCCCGTGTAGCCTGTAGCAGACTGTTGGGGCAAGTGCCGTGAGCGAGCAGCAGCTACGAAGGCCGGCGCGGCACACGAGGCGGTGGGTGGCCAGCACCACGCCCGGCCGCCTTTGGTCTCGCGAGTGGCGAAGTTTACTACACTGTACCAGTCGACCTAGGGGAGGCCTAGGGCTGGTTCAGGTGATCATCACTGGTGTTAGCCGTGAGCAGGAATCGAGCTCGGGTCGCCGGGTTCGTAGCACAGGGAGTTAACCACCGTACACACACACAAATCACATCAGCAAGAGTTTAGACCGGGCCGGCATTGAACTCATCGCGCAGCACCCGCTGTGTGAGCATGCGCGGTCACGGTACGGGTGGGGCTTGGAGCTCACCGGGATCTGGCCGCACGATGGCCTTGATGCCCTGGTAGACGGCGGGCGGTTGGCTGCCGGGCTTGCCCTCCTGCTCCTGCACGTAGCGCTTCATGAGTGTCTCCCGTCAAGGACGATGAACACGACGGACGCCGATGATGCTGCGTCCCCTACAGCAGCAGCAGCAGCCGCGGGGGACGCGACCGATGGCTACGGGGTGGGTGGGAGGAGGTGGGATTCGCAAACCGCGAGTTGTGCTTGCCGACGAGCCGGCGATCGCCGCACCGCGGGTTGCACCGTGTGCCATTGGGCAAGGTGTCCGATGTTTCGCTACATGCTCCCAATAGCAGCAGCGGCGGCGGCAGCACGTGGTACACGGAGCGAAACGTAAATGCATCGGAGGGGAATCGTAAGAGGGGGGGCGGGTCCCCCATCCATGAAAGAACCTACGCAGAATTTAACGACTCGTCAATTTATATTAACTCTTACACTCGTGACGAATGCATCGAGCCGTGCAGGTAAGGTTCTAACTAAAACTATTTTCAAACTAATTTTTATTTTACCAGGTAAGGCTCGCTGAACTACGTGGTTCTTTTTCAGAAGCGACCTGGCTATCACAAATGACAGCTCAATGAAGTGGCTTATCACGTGGAAATTTATAACAGCCCAATACTCTGAACGCGTGTTGATTCTAAATGTGGAGGGGAAACACTTTAGGACCCGGAGAAAAATCCACACGACCATGGGGAGAACAAGCAAACTCCCAACATGCAGGCATCATGGTCCAAATCAAACTCACGACCTACCGTATATGAAGCGAGGGAGTCAACATCTCACCACCGTGGCGCTCAGGTTCAATAATTCACGAATCGGGACAATTTACGAGCAATATTACACCTGCCGCCAATGGATCAAATCCAAGTGATTCCCTTGCTCACGTGAGCATTGCGGCATCAGCGCTCATACAATGCACAGCTCTGCAGAGCCAGTGGCGAACATTACCCATTCCTGTTGTGGGGAGCTATGAGTCTCCTTAGTGGACCACCACTGTTGACAATGCGGTGCTCATTATATCAACCAATATTCGGATGCTATGCACTTTTAAATCTAGACTGAAAACTAATTTCTTCAGAACTGCTTTTTGTGTTTAGTTTGTTGTCCTTACCCCGAACCTTCCATTAGCACGGTTGGCTACGTACGGTGCAACAGGGATTCAACATACACACAAACAACTCATCTGCACGTAAATGTCATTTCTTTGTAAAGGTTGCAATCGATCCGTGTGCTGCATGGTTAAGGATGGTAAATTTGGCATTAAACTATTACCACGCGGCCCAAACCCAAACCCAAACACCACTCAAAAGTATCGGCTACCAAAATCTACGTTCTAAGCTATCGGCGTGCTTCATCCTCGTGGCTCTCGACTCGTGGTCCGCGGAACCCCTGCTGATCCGCACAGCCGGAGGGGTGGAGGCGGTCCACACAGCCACTGCAGACACCAATTATTTTCACCTAAAGCCACATTTTCATTCACTGTGTGGTGGCGGTCCATGGGCCCAGAGAGAGGTTGGACACCCCTGTACTACCCCACACTGCTCATCCCCTTCCCTCCCGTAAAGCTCGCGGCTGCTTGCGCGAGCGGTAAGGGAGCGGCGAGCGGACGGGCGAGCGGACGAGCGAGCGAGCGCACGGGGCTCTTTGCTTCCCGCGGCCTCTGCGCCAAAAGGATATAGTGTAGCGTGTACCACAGCGACTTGAGCTGCGGGTCGTCGTCCATGGCCAGCACGTGGTTGGTCCACACGAGCTCCGTCTCCACGCCATAGCGGTTCAGCGCGCGCCGCTTCATCTTCGCCGAGATGTCCTGCTCGGCGGCCTGCCCGGCCCCCGCAGGGCTCTCGGCGCAGTTGTAGAGCTGGCGGCCGCAGGCCCACACAAGCGAGGCGGCGGGGCACCAGTCCAGCGCGATGCGCTCGAACACCGTGAAGTCGACAAGCGCGCGCGACTGGCTGAGCGCCAGCATGCCGTTCTGCGACGTGGGCACCCACGCGAACGAGGCCACGGCGCCGTCGCACGGCTGCACGCTGCGCTCGATGATGGGCGGCTCCGCCTCATCCCCCAGTGCACCAGGCGCCGTGTGCTGCATGTCGTAGAGCCGCACAACGCCGCTGTCGCGCGCCAGCGTTGCCAGCAGCCCCGTGCGCGTTGGGCACCACGCTACCTTGCTCAGCTGGCGCGACGGCTCGTTGAGCGTGAGCACCGGCTTGTCGGGCACGCGCAGGTCCCACACGGCCACCTGGCCCTCGAAGAATGACGCAAAGCGGTCGGGGAAGTGCGGGTCGAAGGTTACGCCCTGCACCGCCTTGGTGTTGGCAAAGAGCTTCTTCTGCGTGGTGTCGCGCAAGTCGTAGGTCACCAGGTTGCGCTGCATCCCCGCCAGCAGCAGGCGGGCGTCGCGGGGCAGCCACGCCAGCGAGAGGCACGCGTCGTTCTGCCCGAACTCACAGACGGGCTTCGTCACCACCATGTTCGTCTCGGCCTCGCCAGACAGCAGCAGCCGCCCACGCTCCATGATGGCGGCGGCCGAGGCGCCCTCGGAGGCCGTGAACTTGGCGTTGACGTCCCACACCAGCGCGGAGAAGTCCGCGCGGTGCTTGTCGAGGCCGGCGCCCAGCAGGCTGCGGTCGTGCGGGTTCCACGCCAGCGCGTTGCACTGCCGCGCGTGCTTGGGCACGAACTCCTTGCCCACTAGCTCCTTGTGGCGAGCCAGGCCGTCCTGGCCCAGGCTCGTCAGCACCACGCGCCCGTTGGCCTGGCCCACCGCCAGGAGGCACTCGGACGACTTCTGCCAGGGGCACCAGGCCATGCACTTCATGTAGGGAGTCTCCGAGTTGACGTCGAGGAGCGTGGCGGTCGAATCCTCCGACAGCCGGTGGCTGCCATCGCGCGCCTCCCCGCCGCCACCACGCGCCGCGTCCACGCGGTACAGCGAGATTTCCGAGTCGCAGATCACGAAGCGGTTGCCGTTTTGCGGGCACCACACCACGTCCGGCCGGGAGCCGCTCATGGCGGCGGGCGGTTCACGACCGGGGGTCCCCGCCTGGGCCGGGGCACCGGCCTATTCACGGGCGAAAGCCGTGGGGCCGTCTGTCGCGACACCGCGGCGGAGCGGCAACCCGGCTTTAGGACCAAGATGCAGAGACTCTTGCTCCACCGAGCCTGGCCGAGACAACGATGGAGAATACACATTACTACTGAATCAGAATCGGCCTATTTATTTATGCTGGAGAAATCCAATGCACTATGAAGCCTTTTTTCACAGATGTCCAGTAAGGGTGGCTCAGAAAGTTATAACGTCGATGTAGATGCTAGCAGACCAGCAATATTACTATGCTGCTCACCGGGAAATGTCGTTTAAAATCCCTGGCTGACTGATGGGGCTCAACTGTAAAATCAGCCTTATTGTTAAACAATGATGCTTTACAGCAATGTTTTACACTAAGTTTTTTTTACGCTCATAGTGAAGAGAGCCCATGGTGTCAAGAGTGGGCTCTAGCCAATAACTTGAGGCAAACCAGGAAATGTTAAAACGCCAGACTCTACTGATGAGACCCAGAAGAGAGAAACCAGCGTGCAAAGATTGACTCCTTAATTAACGCACGTCTTGGGAAGGCCAAGACGCTAATGAAATAAATATATGGGGTATATTTTTTAATCCATTGTTGTCCTGTACGTCTAAGCTCCGTCTATGCTCCCCCACGCCATCACCAACCGTACCAACCACCGTGGTGAAGTACGGTCACAGAATTCATGTGGCCTGGATGGCATGACACCACTGGTTCTGTGGCGTCCACCTGCGGTTGCTTTGTATATTAATTAATAACCGCAACATACCAGTGGGTGAATATTTAAACACCGGGAGCTTTAGAGGGGCCACACATTAACATTCGCACCTCGGTCAATTTTGTTTCTACTCTGTTCTTGCGTATGGTAGCAATATGTACAGGAGCTAAACGCCAATGTCAAGGTCTCACAGGCACGACAGGGCTTAAGGGAGAGAGTTTGTGCATAATCTTGGTTCTTTCGGTAAAGTCACGTAGAAGGGAAACAATAAAATATAAAACAATAAAATCCTCACGACGTTGTGTTGCAGTCGAAACGTCGTGAGAATTGTATTGTTCTTCTTTGGTTCTTTCGTTAAAGTCACGTAGAATGAGAATAAAATAATAAAATAACACAGTAAAATTCTCACGACGTTTCGGCCACAACGCAAGCAGCCGTCTTCAGGTGAAAGGTACAGAACTTCTACGTGACTTTACCGAAAGAACCAAGAATATGAATCCCTGCAGTCACGAAAGCTTTAAAACAAAGTTTGTGTATAGTTTCACTATTCCTCCGTTAACGGTGCACAGACCACAGTGCTTTAGTTTACTGCACGGTCCATAGTTGGGGTTACATGGCCACAACCGCAGTGGGGGTCTTTAATGTTCCGTTCACGAAGGTGATGTTACTACGCATCGGCCTAATGATGTTTCGAGGTGGTCACTTCCGTCACTTAAAGGCACTGTTCCTTGCAGGCCAAACATGCAACCCCCCTCCCGCCCGGATTAGTGCAGCTAAGATGCTTGCAGGGTAGGTGACATCGTGATCCACCAGAGGTGCACGGTTCGAATCCAGCAGCCGCCCTAATTAATATGCAATGTATAACCATATTAACACATGCCGTCTGCTTCACTCACAGTAGACGTTTAAAGCCGCACCCCCCCTCCACCCAAACATAATTCGCAAGCGTAGGCCATCGTGTGGCTGCAGTCCAAATGTGCCACGTTCGGAATTGTCGCCGCAAATCAACTACATTTGGATTACACAAACACACACGAACAACACCTCTCACCCCCCCCGCTCCCCCCGGAATGGCTGGCTAATGCCACGGGTGATTCCTGCAAACCAGACTCATCCTGGCCTGGCCTCTTTCGAGTTCGCAACACCTGGTGAGACAAAACGATTTTGAGGACTTTCCACTCGCTCGGATTACGACAGACGGATAACGAGGAATCGGTGGTCTCGTGTGGCGGAAGGGGCCGCGTAAAACGAGGTCGTGGGTCGCCTCTTGGTTCCGCGGGCTCCACTCAAAAAAACTATTTTTTTTTGTTTTACTTTACCAGGTAAGGGTCCACTGAGATACGTAACTGGATGGAAAATCCGGAGGACCTGGAGAACAATCCGCGCGTGCACAGAGAGAGAGAGAGACACACATACAAACTCCAAATACACAGCAGGCGTCAGGGTTGGATGTTTGCACACACACATAGTCACTTTAAGATGTTTTTCTTGTTCGTGTTTTTATTTTTTGTTTGTTTGTTGTGGTTGCGCCCGATTCAAGAGCCGAATGGCTCACAGGGCTGTACCAAAATAAAGAAAACTGAAATCTCCTGAGCACCGGGCGAGGTAGTTAACATCTCGCCACCGAGGAGCCCTGAACACGCGACGAAGAGCAGCTGTGGTGGGATGTATCATTGGTTCTACCGGTAAACCGGTAACCGTTCGGCGTACCCACACTTTACCCCACCAAATATGCGACCTGCCGAATCCAGGCAAGGTCGGTTAAAAGGGCTAAAACGTGTTGCGTGTTATCGCTCGACATTTCTGCCGCGCCGAAAACCGATGACCGGTCGTGTTATTGTTTATGGTTGTCTCGTGTGGTTATCGGTGTTGACACAACAACAACAGTAACAGCAACAACAGCAACAACAACAAAACCCGACGATTTTTTTGTTTTTCCTCAAATCACACCGGGGCACGCACCAGGCCTTCTCCTCGCCTTGAGCCGCACGCGACGCGGGGACAGCTCCACCGCCCCGCGCGAGGAAGGCAGACAGGCGCCGGCACGGGGCTCGCAGCCCCAGCGTCTCGCTCCTCCGTGCTCAAGTGCCCCCCTCTCTCTCTCTCTCGCTCTCTCGGTGTGTCTCTCTCTCTCTCCGCGCCCACCCGCACAAAACACAAACAACGCGGCCTCGGACGCGGCCTAAGGCCGGCAACCACACGTGCCCCCTAATGCAGCCACGCCCCCTTTGCTCCGCATCCACGCCCCTTTATCAACTTCCACGCCCTCTTGCCCAACCGCCACGCCCCCTTGCTCAGTAACCACGCCCCCCTCACGTTCTTGACGCCCTACCTATTTGTCCAGTAGCCAAGCCTACATTAATATCCACGTCCCCTTTCCAACACGGCCTGGGGGTGGGGGGGGTGATGCGCGCTGTACCAGAGTGAAATGAATCCGCAACAGAATGAATAAATTATGTTAATGCTTTAGTCCCATATATGGAGTAAGGTTTTTCCGATATTAAGAATTAATGCCCTTCGGGCGGCATCACGTGACGGTGCCTCCATAAGGCCACACCCCCTATCCAGTGTGCAACGCCCCCTGTCGAGTCGCCTTGTCCACTTTAGAGTAGCCACGCCCCCTAACCCAGTAGCCACGCCCCGTGGCTCGTTGCCACGCCCCCTATCAGTCGTCACGCGGTCTGCCCAATAGTCTGCACCTCCTACACAATCTAGATTTGAAGTTTAATCAAATCGAGATTTGAAGTTTTCGTGACTGCAGGGATCCATACTCTTTGGTTCTTTCGGTAAAGTCACGTAGGTATAAAAAAATAAAATAAATGTAATCACGACCCATGTCCAGTGACCACGCCCTCTAACCCGATTGTCTAAGCTGTCGTGTTAATCCAATTTGGTTAGCTGTGCGTGGAACTGTGACCCATTTCTAACAGGGGGTCCTTGCCGAGTTGACCAGCCTTGATTCAAGCAAGCCTGACTACTGTTACTAAAGACATGGGTCCTAGTTGGATGTAAACATGTGAATATTTTTGCATAGCTGGTGTATATTATTTTCTCATTGTATGGCATTTTCATTTTGTAATTATTCACGTGATGGCGCTTTGTGTAAGAAAAAACTAAATTGACTGGACTTGACCCTTTAGAGTTGAGTAGGTCATGTGGCAGTTGTGAGGCCTGGTGTGGGTAGGTAACAAAAGACAATGACCCCCCGTATAGCCTTGACAGTGGAGTAACTCATGCAGCCAGCTATGGCTCTAGGATTTGGTGTTACATGTTATTTATCCAGTTTATTGTAAAAAAAATTCGGTCACAGTCCCCGTGATCACTGTTACGTTGCAATTATGGCTTTATTTTTTGATTTCGAAAACGTTTTTTTGGTTTGGATATGTTTGCTTGGGTGTAGTACGGAGTTAGACTGATGGCCTTAATCTAAGTTGTCTTGTGGTTGTTGTTGTTTGACTTGCATCCCACTGGGATTTTTTGCACACAGCGTTGGTGTACGGTACTTTTTCAGGAATATTTTGCTATTTTTTCATGGATTTTCTGTTTTGCACAGTCACATAGTCACTTTAAGATGTTTTATTGTTCGTGTTTTTGTTTTTTTTTGTTTGTTATGGTTGTACCCGATTCAAGAGCCGAATGGCTCACAGGGCTATACCACTATAAATAAACTAAACAGTCAAAAACAGGGGACAAGTACTGTTAATGAGCACCTATAAAGGCCCGCACAGCGCACGAGGGGGTGGGTAGCCAACACCACGCCCGGCCGCCTTTGTCTCCTCAGCGGCAATTATTACACAGCACCAGGTACCTATTTGAAGCTGAGTCCACCTAGGGGCGGCCCAGGTAATCGTCACTGGTGTTGGCCGTGAGCGGGAACAGAACTCGGGCGGCCGGGTTCGTAGCAGTGGCATTGGTAAAATAAATCTTGAGGACACGAAGGCAAGGCCGTACCAACGATTCATAACAAATGTGAGAGAGGAATATACGTGGTGGGTTGTGCAATGATCATGACAATTTCAACTAATGGCAGGCTCGGAGGAGCGAGCAACCACAGGTAGGCAGCCACGAGGTTCGTCGGCGCCAATAATTGCCCAACATCTGCAATACTCAGGTAAGGCCCACTGAAGTTTATAGTCCTTTTTCAGAAGCGACCTGGCCACAAATGATAGCTCAGTTGAAGTGGCTTATCGGGTGGAAATTTATAACAAATACTCTAAAGCGCATTTTGATTCTAAATGTGGTGGGGAAAACCGGAAGTCCCCAGATAAATCCAAGCGACCACGGGGAGAACATGCACACTCCAAATATTCAGGCGTCAGGGTCAGGATTGAACCCACGACCTCCTGCATACCAGGCAAGGGAGTTAACATCTCGCCACCCGGATGTACTGTAAAGGGCAAACAAGAAAACAAAAGAAATGGTCTTCACAACTGGCAAATATTTAAAAACATTTTATGTATAGAAAAAAGGCGATAAAAACCAAACAACACAACAAAAAAACGTGTTTTGCAAAGCAGTAAGCGGGCAAGCTAAACAATCGGGTCAGCCGTCGGTCCGAAGATTACGCTGGACGGCTCATCCGAGTGGGGGGCAAACACGTGGACACTTTGACTCCGCAGGGAGCCGACGACCAAATCACCCAGAATATGCCCAATATGATCAGATCTCAGAAGCTTAGCAGGTTACAGCCTGGTTAGTGCCTGGATGGGCAACCACCATGCAGGGAATCAGTGGTGGTAGGCTGCTGCGGGGCTATAGTGTAAGCAGAGGCAAGAGCAGCAAAGTCCATTAATCTGCCGGTAGGGGGGCGATGGTTGCTGCTGTGTAATCTCAATTGAGTAAAGTGTAATTCATCAAGACACCCGAATGCTGAAAAATGAACTGAAATTTACTATAAGATTTCAGAATTTGGATCACGAAGCCAGCACACGATAGCCTTCTCTTGCGAATGATGTCACAAGATCTTTACTATCCACTGAGTGATGCAGCCGGCGCTTAGCATATGAACACTTATAGTATTAACCAGGCCGGCTTGCTAGATTTCAGCTGGGAACGTCTGCAACAAGCGGCGGTCTACGCTAACCTGAGCCATGTCACCTAACCGGATGCAGACCTCCGGTCCCTGTGGTACACCAAACATGACCTCTACGTCACAGAGTTGAAGGTGTGATCGCCAGAGTGGCAACCCAAGAAAATATATTTGTACGTGGGCTACACATTTTTGTTGTCAGCAAGTGTCTGCTTGGTGAAAATGATATAAAATTATGTGACAGGGTTTATGTGACGCCACTGTGCTGCACCCCAGGAGGGCAAAGCTTTTGGTCCTGGGTCTGTTAGTTACAAGAAATTGAAAATGTTGCACCTCTCTATTGCAATAATTTTTTTAATACGCAGCGGCCAGTCACAACAATAATAATGCAAATTACCAATGCATAATTGTTTAGTATTACATATAGCGTCATCGTTCATCCAAATAGCATCTCCCAATCTCCTTGCGAACCACAAAGCTGGAAGGCAGCAATCACGCATGGAGCCGGCACTACCAACAATTTCCCAAGCTCTGCGGTCCTCTATATATTTAGATGTTTTCTGCCAATTGATGAGCGTTTTAACATGTGGGAGGAAACCGGAGCACCTCGGAGAAAACCCACCCGTGCGAGGGGCAACACTCGATTCAGTAAAGATATATTCTGTTCATACTTTGCATTACTCCCTTTTTCTGGCGAGCCAGGGTTTGGCTCCTCCTTGATTACCACGGGAAGGAAGTTTTGCAAAATGTGTGCGGTGATCCACGAACCCTTACTGCCTTCACAGTGATGGATTGCAGGCCACGTGCATAGTCACCACCGCACAGATGTTGTAACATGGCCACACAAGTAAATATAAGGCTTTACCTGTTCGCAAAAAGGTAACATTTAAACATTTCTTAAGCTTCAGCCGGTGGTTGTGAAACTGAAGGGGCATCCGCACTAGAGGTGGGAGACCGCTTTGCACACGTGGCCACCTTCACAGCTCTCCAAAGTCACCACCGCTCAAACAACATTGCTGCTCTTCCTAGCGCTGCACGCTCACTACCGTACCGCTCCCCCGAACACAATGCAAAGGGTCCATTCGGAGGACTGGCCAAACAAGGAGCAGAGATATCACTCACAAACCCTGAAGGTGATAATTCAAACGGCCTCCCTTGCCCTGTCTCCACACTCCTGCACTGCACTCGCTACATTATCAGCAGAAGGGAGTGCAGAAATTTACATAGTTTTAATTGTAGCCGGTGTGAACTCACCTTTGATCAATTACACTTATATAATTGTGTACTCTGCTAATTGCTACTGAGAGCCAGGTGCGTTTTTGTATTATATGAGAAGGCAATGATGACTAGGGATAGGACGGCGAGCCCCACATGCACTGGAGAGCACGGGGCACGCCCCCGATATAAATTTAGGCAGACTCCGTGCTGAACACTTTGAAATAACGTTTAGCCGTTCGATAAACCTCTGGTGCCCAGCTGCTGTGGAGTCGCCCACTTCTCCGGAGGATAGAACACAACACGCAGTATCTACTCGTCTCCGAACTTTTTTGTCGGTCTACTTAGCTAACGTGTCCCCCTCGTTAGAATCTGCAGGACAGGGACAGGGCGGATCGGCTACATGATGTACGAGTCTGACAACTAAGCTCCCCACCTTCACCAACCCGCACTGACCAGCACGGTCAAATAACCCTCACGAACCGCATGGCATGGAGAGGCCATCATCCAGCGGCGGACTGACAAATAAGCCGTGCATGCAGTGGTTCACTACATCATCCTATTAACTACACACATTGACCTCCAAGCGGTGCTTGACCAAAATGATGCGAAAACTCCACTTCACCAGATGGTAATTTGTGCAGCGAAGTGACCGGACACAAATCGGTGCACACATCACCGGGGTAGCCGTGTGTTTTGGCATCAGTGACGTGGCGTGGTTGGCACCGTGTCCACTACCCCCCCCCACCCCACCCCCTTCTCTTAAGCTGAATGCCTGGACCCCTCCGGCTCATAGGTCTGGAGCAGCTGCACCGCATGCACACTCGATAAAGAGATCACACAGGGATCTACACTTAATGTTTGGATCATGCAAGCTGGCTCGGTTCATCAACACCAGAGGTCAGAAGCCTGCGGCTCCGGAGACGCATGCGGCTCTTTAAGGACTGCTTCGTGATGTTATTTATTCAGGACCACCGTCTCGTATTCACATGTATTGCAGCTCTTCAAATATTGCATTCTTTTACCGAATTCGAAAAAGGCTCTTATTGTTATTTTGGTTTCTGACCCCTGATCTACACCAATGTCAAATTCACTTCCTGGCTCTCTGCTTCTCTGCCTCCGTGCTGAGCGAGGAGAATTCCACCTAAAGACCCGGACCATGGAGCCTGGAATACAAAACCAGCACTCCAGATTCTTGGGTATAGAGACTGGATTCAGGACGCTGGAGTCCAGAATCTGGATTGTGGATTATGGTGTAGGTCTCCCAGATGTTGACCTTAACCTACCTTGACACTGACCCAGCCCATGACGTTTAAGCCTTGACCTAGAATAAAAAAAATTGGCCGCTCGTGCACCCTGGAGTCCAGAGTATGCAATTAGAATCCAGCGGTCCACCTTATGTGTGCACGTATGTAAAACCTTTTTCGCACCATACATAGCCAACCGTGCTAATCGGAGGTGTGGGGGAAGGACAACCAAACTGAACGTAAAAATCGGTTGTAAATAAATGAGATTTCAAGCTATATGATTTAAAAGCGCATCACTTCAGTGGCTTCCTAATATCGGAAGAGCTTTGCTGATTGCTGCAGAAGCGCATCTGCACAAGCGCAATACGTGGAGTCTTTGTTCGCTGGTGAGTTAAAAGCCATCACTGCGAGCGATGACAGTTCGCGCGATGGTTTATGCCCCTTGACGAGATACCACCCATTGGAAGTGTTTGTATAATGCAGGTCATTTTGTGCAACATTAAACTTGATTTGCGCGCAACGATCTGTTTTTTTGTGGAGACACTGTTGTTGTTGTTCACGAATGCGAGTTTATTAATTGTGCTTGTGCACTTCTGAATACTTAGCTTTGATGAAGGACCATTGCCCGAAACGTGACCTATCGTATACTTTTCCTATTAAGGCCTCGGTGTTATTCGTGAACTTCTTTAAAATATTTTTTGTTGAGGCGTTATTGACGGATGTGACATTTTCTGTTCAATGTTTTTGCCCATTAAACTGTTCAATCAATTTTTTTTAAGTTACTTTCTGGTGTACTCACTCAGCGGGAGGGGGTGGGCGGGGGGAGTGGGGCAGCACGGCCAGCCAACGTGAGCAACCACGGCGGAATTAAGCCAACACCCAGCAAGACCAAAGCACCAACTCAAAGACTCTGCCGTAGCAACAGCATCAACCGCAAACGATTCCGAGTTGGTGTGAGAGTGGCCCGGTGTAACGTTATCTTCAGAGTGATCTAGAATTTGTAAGGAACCCACGGCGGGGTGGCGGTCAATTTGGCGACAGTGGAGTGGGCGGGCACTTAGTGTGTACGACACTGCTGCCGATCTCGTGGCTCAGGGGATCCCGGCTAAGCGATTCTCACCAAGCAAATTTGTCTCTTGAGCGAGGGCACGGAGTGACCGATTCACAATCCCCCGGGCGCTGGACAATAGGATATTTCGATGCCGTGGCGGCCATACATTAGGAAAATAGCTGAGCTCGGATATTTTTGCAGGGTAAAAGGAGCTCTGTAGAGAGGAGCACGCACAATTATAGCAACATAAGCCTTGAGAAAAGAAAAAAAAACCCTACATTAATGACTGCGTCAATGTAGAGCTGCATTGACGAATATGTGTTTGTGATCAATTACGCCTCGGTTGTAGTTTGGATTGTTAATCTGGACACCTTTGAAATACTGGAAAAAGAGCTTCATAGCCCATTGGATTCCTACAGTCTAAATAAAGATTCTGATTCTGGTCGCTGACCATTCCAATGAAATAGAGAATGCATGAAATGTAGGTGTCTGTAGCCAATAAGACAATCCCATCGTTTTTGGGTGTTAGGCCACGTTATAGTTTTATGCCAAATGTCTTGTCATTAACCCTTTACCACCCGACAAGAATGCCACGTTTACTCAGTGTAACTCAATAACCGAGTACCAAACTGAGAACCACAGCAGCGCTAGACTAATGCCGGCGACTGAGAAGTGAGCTCCGAGGTTAGGCTACGTAATTTTCAGAACCAAATTCCAGAACCCAATTGCTGCTAAATTCAGCCATTCGAAAAATGTTTTGTCAACTCTCGAGTGAGAGACCCGACAGAAGAATAATCGGCGCATTGGTAAACACTCGTACACGTGACCATTGACCTGATTTTGGCTTTTATCTGCTGGTGGAAGGTCTCGCAAAATAAATTTGGCCAAATTACCGAAAAAATCAATTACGCTTCATAATAATGGCGGCGAAAACCCACGCGCTAAACCGACGACGGCATTTACTCCTTAACTCAGTGACGCTAGAAGCCCGGGGCTGATTAGAGAACGCCAGCGCTGGCGCGGGGGGCCTAAACCCTCTTGACCTTGGACACCTTGGTCGGCTTCTTCCCCTTCGCGATGGCCTTGGACACCGACTTTCCCACCGAGGTCTTCACGGACTTCTTGGAATGCTTGACCTTCTTGTTCTTCTCCTTGAGGCTCTTCTGCTTCTGCTCATTCTTCTTCTTCTTCTTTTTCTCGGTTATGCCCCTCAGCGCCTTGGGCTCGGCCTTCACCACGCTCTTCTTGCCCACCGGCTCGGAGGAGGTGGGGGCGGGAGGCTTGGATTTTCCCTTCTCTTCCGCCGCCTTCTTCTCCAGCTTGTTCTTGTTCAGCTGCCGGAAAATGAGGTGAGAACACTGAGAGACTCGCACACACACGAGGTGGAGACACGAGCTCAAGAATCAGCTGACAGCCCAGTGGGACAATCCAATCGCACTGGAGACACACACAGGGTGGACATGCAGTATAGTACGGGACACACATCGGTCCTCAGTGTAAATGTAGACAGAATTCCGTTCTTTCGAGGACCACCTGTGGATTTGTAGTCAAGTCTCAGTCTGCTGACTTAACGTAAGTCAGCATATTTCATTTTAATCACAAAATGAAATGCACAAAGACTCAATTCACCAATTCGTTTACTTTGCAACGGAGACAATCAAATGCAGTTGTCATGTTGGCAAACGTGCCAATTGATTCGGTTTTACAGCAACACCAGAATGCTGCAAAGCCCAATAAAATCTTTGACAAATTCCAACATAACCCAGAGTTGCCGGCCGGCCGGCCCCACTTACCTTGAAGGAGCCGTTGGCGCCCGTGCCCTTCACCTGCAGGAGTGTGTCATTCTGCACCAGTGCCTTCACCGAGTACTTGAGGTAGGTGCGCCCGTGCTCCTGGTCGAACCAATCCACCTTGCGCGCCTCGGCGTACACGCGGGCGAGCGATGAACCGCCTCGCTCACCCAGCGCGCGGATCACGTCGATCACCAGCCGGCTGTACTTTCCCGGCTGATTCTTCTTCTTCTTTTTCTTCTTGCCGCCGGCGACACTACCACCGCCGCCGCCGCCGACGTGCAGGTAGGGCGGCTTGGCGGGAGACGACTTGACGCCCACCTTGATGGCCACCTTGGCCTTCCTGGCCTTGCCCTTCCTGGTGGCGACGTTCAGGTCCTGGGCGTGCGCCTCAGCGTGGAGCTCGGGCGCCGCCGGTGCCACCTCCAGAGAGTCCATCGCTTCCACTGAGGACATCAACACCACCACCACCACCACTACGACTGCTGCAATAACGGGGGGGGGGGGGCCGGGGGGGTGTGTGATCGCGGCGACACGGACAAGAAGCAGCAGCAACAACGACGTCGTCCCCATGTAGCCTTCACCAGATTGGGAAAGTGCTGTATAGACCATGCACCTTTAGTAGCTTTACGTGGCACACAAAGGGGGCAGGCGGTCAACTCCCCGCCCCCCCACGACGGACCGCATTTGTCTCCCCAGTGCTGCTGTTTACACACCGCACCAAGTACCCACTTGAGGCCGAGTTGACCTAGGGGAGGCCCAGGACTGGTTCAAATATTCGCCACCAATTATTAGTCCTGGGGTGGCCGGATTCATAGCGCCGTGCGCTAACGACTGCACTACCACTCCCCGTACACACACACACACACGCGCGTACACAAAGAAAACAAAATACCTTTGGTGCAAATGCTGTGAGCGAGTACCAATGGCGGCTGGCATGGCACACGAGGAGGGGGTGGATGATGACTCGCACCACCACACCCGGCCACCTTTATCCCCCCAGTACACACTACACTCGTTTAAGGCTGAGTCGACCTAGGGGGAGGCCCGTGACCTATCAGATACATACAACTAACGGTCGAATCCATGCTCATTGTGCTCAGCCCCGGGTCCCGCTATGACCCATTTCATGCGATTCCACGCCTGACTTCCTACAAACCTTACGTAACGAGAGAGCAACATCGCGTTGTGCATCGCAACGCGGAGTAACGCAAGGGCAACGCCACGCTGGTGTAACGTAACGCATGGGGAGGAGGGGAGGGGAGGGAGGAGGGGGGTAACGTAGCAGAGAATAAATTAACGCGGCGTTAACTGCGTCACGACGCGAATCGTCGAGGCTCCCGCAAACAAACAAAAAAATCCAGCACGGCAAACTCCGCCTCGCCCCGAGCGCGCTTTCCACGTTCCTATGGCCGAGACCTCGCCTCTCAACAATTGCATCGCCGCGCAAGAAGCACTCCGCCCCCCCCCTCACCTTGGAAGTGTCGAGGGGGGCCCGAGGAGACGACGAAGAGGAGGAGGAAGAGGAGGAGGCGGAGAAGACGAAACAGCGGAGACGCGAGGACGTTTGGACGCGCTGCGGTGAGGTAAACAGCCACCCCCCAGCGACAGCTGAGACGCGCGCTCCCATTGGCTGAGATCTTGAGACCAGGGGTGAGACGCGCGCTCCCATTGGCTGAGAGCTTGAGACCAGGGGGGTGAGACGCGCGCTCCCATTGGCTGAGAGCTTGAGACAAGGGGGTGATGCGCGAGCTCCCATTGGCCGGGAGATTTGAGATCAGGGGGTGATGCGCGAGCTCCCCATTGGCTGAGGGCTCGGGACGATGAGGGGGAGGGGGGAGCTGTTGCGGTGGGATAAAGACGCGCGCTCTCATTGGCCAGGAGCTTGACACGAGGGATGAGACGCGAGCTTCCATTGGCTGCAGTGAAGGTGAAAGCTAGGCCTTCTCATTGTCTGAAATAAGAGGAGCAGCAGAAGCTGAACTGACGTTAAGAATCGCGATCCGAGAATTTGAAAAGTCTAATCGATTCGCCCCAAAATAAAACCTGAGCTCAATTCTCGGCCACGGCTCAATTCACTTCATCAAACCGCCCTTACCAGCGTGGTGAAGTATGTCCAAACAACCCCCGCAAGACTGACAATATTCGCGGCGGCTGGGGGGGGGGGCTCTTAATTCATCAAAGTAATCGATTCCTAAATCTAACCTACGAGTAATAGAATCGCGTGGGATCGGAACTCAATGCGCGCCTCCCCACAAACCGAGAATCGATTCGTTCGCGAACTTCATCGTCACCGGGAATCGATCCACACCACCTCGGCGGCCTGCGCAACTCCCGTATGAGAATCTGTGAGGCAAACCACGCCGTCGTCCACACTCGCGGCTGCAAACAACCACCAGCAATCATCATCGCCATCGGGCAGCATGCGGTATCGTAGTCATCATCGTCGTGGTGGTCACGGTGTTGGAGGTTGAGGAGGTTGGTGAAGAGACAGCCTCATTAACCCACCCCGATCTGCGCTTTCCCGCGCATTCTCACGTTCATTCAACTCGCCTCCATCCACCAACAGCTGCGTTACAACAAGTCCCGACTCCTGCGCAGGTAACCCACCACTGCCGAGTGAGAGGGGCTGCCCTCATCACTCACCACCTCACTCGCTTACCAACCCACTCACCACCTCACTCACTCACCAACTCACCACCTCACTCACTCACCACCTCACTCACCAACCCACTCACTCACCAACCCACTCACCACCTCACTCACCACCTCACTCGCTCACCAACCCACTCACCACCTCACTCACTCACCAACTCACCACCTCACTCACCACCTCACTCACCACCTCACTCACCAACCCACTCACCAACCCACTCACTCACTACCTCACTCACCAACTTACCACCTCACTCACCAACCCACTCACCACCTCACTCACCACCTCACTCACTCACCAACTCACTCACCACCTCACTCACTACCTCACTCACCAACCCACTCACCACCTCACCACCCCACTCACCAACCCACTCACTCACCACCCCACTCACCACCTCACTCACCACCTCACTCACCAACCCACTCACCACCTCACTCACCAACCCACTCACCAACCCACTCACTCACCACCTCACTCACCAACCCACTCACCACCTCACTCGCTCACCAACCCACTCACCACCTCACTCGCTCACTCACTACCTCACTCACCACCTCACTGACTCACCAACTCACCACCTCACTCACTACCTCACTCACCAACCCCCTCACTCACTACCTCACTCACCACCTCACTGACTCACCAACTCACCACCTCACTCACTACCTCACTCACCACCCCACTCACTCACCACCCCACTCACCCACTCACCAACTCACTCACCACCTCACTCACCAACCCACTCACCACCTCACTCACCACCTCACTCACCAACCCACTCCCCACTCACCACCTCACCAACACACGCTATGCGCAGGGGTTGTGTGTTCCTCCTGTACCCCCCCCCCCCCCCCCATGAACGTGAACCCATCGATTCCTGCGCATCTCGCACGCAGCTAGTCGACTCCTCCAACCGTGTAATGTTGAGGACTCACCGCGCTGTTTAAGGGGCCGTCCATAAATGACGTCACGCGACTTTGGACGATTTTTGACCTCCCCCCCCCCCCTCGTCACACGGCGTCACAAAAAGTCAGACTCCCCCTCAAATATGACGTCACAAAGTTTTGCCCCCCCCCCCCCAAAAAAAAAAACATGCTTCAAATCGCTTTAAACTATTGTCATTGTAGTGCGTATTTAATGAGGCGCCGCACTGATGTAGGATAAAACATTTTTTTAAAAGTCTATTTAATTAAGTAGAATGTATATTCTTGGTTCTTTCGGTAAAGTCACGTTGAAGGGAAACAATGAAACAATACAATATATATAAAATAATACAATTCTCACGACGTTTCGACTGCAACACAAGCAATCATCATCAGGTGTGAAAACCAACGGCAAGAACATGACTGCTTGTGTTGCAGTCGAAACGTCGTGAGAATTTTATTGTTTTATATATTTTTTATTATTTTATTGTTTCCCTTCAACGTGACTTTACCGAAAGAACCAAGGATATGAATCACTGCAGTCACGAAAGCTTTAAATCAAAATTTAAGTAGAATGTGTCTATTTAAAGTTGCGCATATTTACGTGACGTCACATTTCTCAAACCCCCCCCCCCCCTCGTCACACATTGTCACAAATGTTTGACCCCCGCCCCCCCCCAGGTGCGTGACGTCATTTATGGACGGCCCCTTATCGCACCCACACACGATGCTCAACCACAACCATCACGCTACGTGCCGGTCACACCAACGCAAAGACCCCCCCCCCCCCCCCCAATATTTTGTGCTGTAAATCCTTTTAATTCACAGACCTTTGAGGCAAGTGTTGATAGCGAGTTGCACCTATATACTGTATTTTTTTTTAAAAAAGCACGGTTTTTCGCAAATACGTATATCGATGTGTCCTGCAATGCACAACGGGTTAAACTGTCGACTAAGAAATGAAGGGAGCTGCCATAGAGCTGTAATAGTTAGTATACGGGAATTGCAATCGGAGGTCGTCGGTTCGATTCCGTGAACCATTCTCATTCTTCCGGTTCACCCTTGGTGTAGTGTGGTTCGGTATGGTGCGGGGTGGTGTGTGGTATGGTGTGGTGCAGTGTGGAGCGGTGTGGTATGGGGTGGTGTGATTCTGCGTGATTTTGTGCGGTGGTGGTGTTGGTGGTGCGGTGCAGGGATTGGCGCGGCGTAGTGCATTGTAGTGCTGTGTGCTACGGTGTGGTGTGGATCTGTGTGTTGCAGGTTTTCTCCGTGTGGTGCCGCGCGGCGCCGTTGGACTGCGCCGCGATGGGCATGAAGGAGGCGAGGAGGTTGTTCCCGCTGCTCGGCGTGGACGGCGTTGTACGCCTCTTCGCGCTCGAGCTCGGCTCGGACGAGCCCGACCTGGCGCTGCTCTCCATCGTGCTGGGCTACGTCGAGCACCAGCTCACGGTGGCCGCCGCAGCCCGTGCCGCTGCCACGGCAGCCGCCGCCCCACCGCCGGGAGAGGCGGTCGAGGAGGAGAGGGAGGAGGAGGAGGAGGAGGCGGCGTGCTCATTCCCGCCCGTTCCGTGGCAGCCCGTGGAGGCGCTGCGCTGCCGCTTCGTGAGCCACGTGCTCGGCACCGTCGACCTGACGCAGTTCCGGCGTGGCGCGGGTGGCGGCTCGGGCCGCGAGCTCGTGAACAAGGTGTCGGACGTGGTGTGGGGCACGCTGCACCGCTCCTACAACAAGGACCGTGCGCACATCCACTCGCTCTACAGCTACCTCACCGGTAGGACGACGGGGACAGCCGCTGTTTCGCTACAGTGCCGGTGGCGACGCCTCGGCGCTCGCGCCAGGCTGGGTACACTTCACGTGAAGTGGCTAAGGCTCGCCGATGGAGGTAGAGGCGGCGGTATGGAGGCTGGGGTGTGCGTTGCCAACCGAGTTGCACGGTTGGCTACGTACGGTGAAAAATAAGTCAAACTTGCATACATACATACAAATTGGGTTTGGGTGAAGTTTGAGGGATGCGTTGATGGTTTCGGCGATGATGGTGACAAGTTTGTTGATGAAGTCGGTGCTGAAGGAGGCTGTGAGCTTCAACGATGCTTGTGGATCATTGTGATTGAGGCACCAGGCTGCTGCTGGGATGGAGGAGGTCTTTGAGGACTTTCCTGAGGTCGCGAGGGCATCCCGAGGCAGTTTTGATGTGAGTTTTGATACAGGAGGTGCGTGAATCAAGACCGAGCTTGTTGGCTATCTTGCAGGCCGCTCTGTAACGGGTCCGGTCGGTGGTGAGCCCACTGTGGGAGTAGGTTCGTTCCGATCGCCTCCTGAATCACTCAGCGTGGATTTGATTAGCGGATATCTAGAGTCATGCAATGATGTGTGGGGTGATTAGAGGTCTGAGAGTCCAGCCAGTTTTGGTCAACGCTGTCCTGAGATGAGCTTCTCTCTGATGGGCGCAAACGCACAGTTTGCGTGAAGGGGATAAGAGAGTGGGAAATTCGATGCCATGGAGAATGCTCAGGTAGTGGGTAGCTTTGATGACGAGAGGCCTGGGTGATTGTGGAGAAGTGACGATCAGGTGGTCGGTCAGAATAGCTGACTTGGAACGACCCGATCGGAGAGAAGTCAACAGCCAAGATCAGATTCAATGAAGAGGTGCTCATGGTGACATTTGGATTGGTTAAGCGGTTGTAATTGCCACATTATGGCATGAGCCAAAGTTGCCTCGAGACGGGGCAGTTGAAGTCGCCTGTGAGCACCAACCATTTGGTCACGTTGGAGAGAAAAAAAAGTCTGAAAGTTCATTAAAGAAGCTGATCCTGCCTTCAGGAGAGTCGTAGATTAGGATGAGTGAAAAGCTGGTTGTTCTGGTGGCGAAGATGTTACCTACCTCGCCTGGTATACAGGAGGTCGTGAGTTCGATCCCGACTCTGACCTCCTTAGCTGACCATGCTATTCGCACCTTCAATTAGCACGGTTGGCTACACGCGGTGCGCATTAAGTTCAACATGCATAGTTGGAGCTTGCGTGTTCTCCCCGTGGAGGCGTAGATTTTTCTCCGGATCATCTGGTTTTTCCCTCCACATTTATAAACATGCGTTTAAGAGTATTTGGCTGCTATACATTTATACGTGATAAGCCACTTCATTGAGCTATGATTTGTGGCCCAGCTCGCTTTAAATGCTATACGAATGAAGATGCTGTGTGTGTGTGATGGTGATTACATTGTGCATAATACATAACAATGATCCGGTAATGAGTGAATGCCTATACTGATGATTCGCCGCCTCCCCCCATCTCCCCCCGCTGCCATGTGCCGGCGCAGGCTTTGAGAAGC